TCCAGGGGTGGTTATGGTACTTTATAATGGGCGTAGTGTAAATCAATGGGTTGGCTGCCCCATCATTGGGGCCGCTGCAGTAGGCGCTGCAAGGCACCCAGACACCGAAAGCCATTTAAATGTCCTGTCAAGGCGTAACATGAGCAACTCCCAAGGGGGCAGAGATTGAGGGATGGGAAAACCAAGAAAATGCAAAGAGAGAGGGAAAGGCTATAAAAAACTACGCACAGAGAAAAACGTGTTCTGTAAAAGTAGTTTCAATAGGAATAGAAATCAGAACTAGGAGGGAAACTACATATTATTAAAGATGCTTAGCACATCATTCCAAATTCACTAAATAGTTGGTAAATGGTATTTTTAAAACGATGAGTTTTGTTCCAAACTCGTTTTAAGATGGTTATTATTTCAAAAATTCTTAAAAATATTTTAATGGTAAATCCAATATTTCTAGCTTAATACTTAAGTATTCTTAGGAATTCTCTAGAAACAAATCGAATATTTGACAAAAATAGAATGACCCAAAAGTTCTTAACTTTTTTCCCATGTTTCCAACTAGCACGCAAAACAAACAAAACTGGTTAAACTTCTTCTGTTTAGCCTGTCCTTTTGTGGCCTCGAGTTGCAAATTAAATTTCACACATACAGTGGCACATATCAGCACACTCACACACACACACTGACAGACTAACAGACTTTCTGGCTAACACGCACACACACTAATGCCCAAATGCTGGCTAAAAAGGGGAAAGCGCATTGCCTGCTTTTCTGCGTAATTAGTGAAATTCGGCAACAGGGCCTGCAGAAAAGTGCAAGAAGCATAGACAGCACAGGCGCAAATATATAACCTTAACACCCCCCTAAGCCTTAACCCTTTGGCATCCATGCTCATTAACTGAAAGGCCTACCGAAATTCAACAAAAAGCTAGAACCGACAGGGATGCACTTCATAATGTGTCACTTGAAATACATTTCCATCAGGCACGTGCGTGGAGGCAAAAGATGGGACAACAACTGACAATGGGTTAAAGTGGGGAGGGGGGTTTGGGGGTTGGAATAGATGTTAGGGGTGATGGTTAGTGGAGGGCAGACAGGACACAATGGGGAAAAGGACTCTGTCTGGCCTTGCTCACACACAAAAAAGGGAAAAACACATGCACAAACGAAACGAAACGTGAACGTGATGATTTGTCATGATTAACGCGAGGCAAAAGGGGATCCCCATTGAAAAGCGGGACTTCCCCTCGACCACTTTAATTTTTTTGCATTCTCTTTGTTTGCTCACATGTCAATGTCGTGCGGTGGGGGGGGTGCCGTCTCTCTCTCTTCTTTCTTCTCCCGGTCTCCCTCTTTCTCTCGCTTTCCCTGAAGGAGTCATAAAAGTTGAAATTGTTTTCCCCCCAGCTGTATGCTTTATTTTCAGTTTGCAATACTCCGTTTTATGTGTTTGTTTTTGAATTTTATGATTTCTGCTGGGCACGCAACAAACGAAAATAGCAACAAAACGGTTGAAAAGCCAGAAAATACACTCTGCTACATGTATTCGGCACTTAACACACTTTACACACACACACATACACTCACCCACCCACTCGGCTTTTGATTTCGCCTCTTACTTTGGCTTTGTTCTCCCTCTCTCTTTCTCTTTCTCTCTCTCTTTCTCGCTCTCTCTCTTTGTCTCTGTAGCCCCTTCTCTTTCCTTTGTAGTCGCACACAAATACACGTGACGTATACGTAACCTTGTAACCAAAATGTTGTTATTTCGGTTCGCCATTCCCATGTGTTTGTGTGGGTGAGCAAAAGTTCTTGGCATTATTTTAAGTGTTCTGCTCACCTGTGCTCTCTTTCTCGCGCCCCTCTCTCTCTCTTCCCCTCTCTTCTCGGCATCGTTTTCCAAATTTATACTAATCTTTGTTTTACTCCGAGCCTTAAAATATGTAAATGTGTGTTTTGTGTCTTAATGTTGTTTGTGTAACCGTTTAATTCTAGTATATAGCATAGTTTTCCACACTCGCTTTGTACTTTGATTTTATTTAATGACCCCACCACACACACACACACACACACACCCTCGTACACACTCACACAATGTTTGTTAAACTTTAAACTTAGCATTTTGAACGGAACGCTGATTTTTGAACTCCTTTTTCTTACTGTTCTTACATAATCAAAAAGTAATATATAACATTTAACCAACACACCAAAGAGCAAACCTTAGAAATCAAGATACAAAATCAAGATATCAAAAATCAGAAATCAGAAAGCAAAATCCCAACTGAAATGATCAGATACGAATTAACAACCATTAGTGAACTGTGATCTGTTTAGCATACAAGAATAATTCTTTTGTCATTTTATTGCCAAAAGATGCAGATGATTTTTTCACGAAACTTATCGATTGTAATGGCTCCACTAATTGGCTTCATGAACCAAAATTAAATCCACACAAAACGTAGGCAAGCAGTCTTGACTGATAAATAACCAAATCAAGCGACTCAATTAATGAATTCAAAATATATATTTGTTTCCAGAATTGATCTTTTTTAATTACATCAAAAACCATATATTTTGTTGTTGTTCTAAAAGCAATCACCAAAAAAAAAAGTAAACCAAAAAAAACAATTGAAGAAATGCAATGACAAATATGAAAACAAATTTGTTTACCAAGAATCGAAAAAAACGTATGCAACTATTTACAATATGCTTTTGTAATATTTTCGCACGATACCAAAAAATAATATCAAAATAAATATAACTAACAAGAAAAGACCAAAGGGAAAGCAATAACCAATTGATTAATACTTCGAGTAGACGGAAGGAAGGAAAGAAAGGAAAAGAAGAAGAAAGCGAATCTTTCATTTACTGACAACTCTTTGACGATAAAATGATAAAACAATTACGACGTGTATATATATCCACAATATGGCTAACAAACATATGAATATATACTCTACCTCTCTGTTTCTGTCTCTGTTTCTCCCACTCACTCTCTCTTCCTCTCTGTCTCTCTCTGTCTCTCTCTCTCTGTCTCTGTCGCTCTTTATATATATACGAATATCAGCAACTACAACTATATATATAAATATGTTACTCTGCAGTATGTTGTTTTTGATATTGATTGCGTTATATTCCGCTTACGACAGACCGAGACCCCAAAAAACCCCCGATCTTCCGACCCACACCCCTCAAAATATAAAGAAAACCCAGATTCCAAGCCCTTCTCAAGGCCGAAAAATAGGCAACAATTGTTGCCGTGTCGTTGCACCTGACTTACACACATGCACATGTGTCTGTGTGCACATATGGATGTGTGCTCGTGTTTGTGTATGATATATTACTTTTTGGTTTTTGTAAATATCGGACTTACCAACTAATCTTAAGAACGTTGACCGGATCCACTCGAATTCGAACTCGAACTCTCACACAACACGCAATGCAACAACTACAACACTCTGTTCATGATGGGTTCCACTCGCACACTCACACACACACACACAGTTCTGACCCTCTCTCACCAACACAAGTACACTGGAGAAAACACTCTCTATGAAGAAAGGATTAAGAAAAGATACCCTGCTCTGTCTGACACACACAACTTGCGTTCTTTCCATCTCTCTCTCTCTCTATAAGTCTCTTTGTAACCGTCTCTCTCTTACTCAATCTCAAACTCTGACTGTCTCTTTCACACACACTCTCTCTCTCTCTTTCACTGTCTGTCTAAACAACTATATGAATATATATTTTGTTTGTTTTCTCCAACACACCGAACCAAATTATTTAACAAATATACTTTTGCACGTTATTTCTATAATGCATCTGAACTATATATTGTTATACGAATATTTATGTTTCTTTTCTGCGTACAAACAAGATACCAAAAGCAAATTGTACAAAACAAAAAATACCAAAATACCAAAATACCAAAATACCAAAAATACCCAAAAATATACCTGAGAAATACGAAATCAGAATCCGAGTTGCATTTGTATGCCACGATGATCACACGAACCAAGTCAAAACAGCGAAAAAAAGAGAAGCATCGACACACACAGATATAACACACACACACAGGGACATACACACTCTCAGCCACAAAGATACAGCCATCCACACATAAATAGATACAAAAACCAGCGACATCCTCGTGGCTGTCAACCAAGTGACACACATTTCATGTTGCGCCTCCTCTCCGCCCCCCAAAACCAAACCCGAAACCACACCCCCTTTTCTCGCACACACATTAAACTCACACACACACACACACTCACAATTACGCCCAACCCCCCGCCCTTGTTGAACTTTTTTTGGGTGCCAACAAGAGCCGTTGAAAGTGCCTCAGAACTAACTATATAACTAACCATATAAAGCCAAACGAAAGTTAACCAATGGAAAAAAACGAAAAGAGAACCAAACAGTACCGAAAAATCATAACTCATAATCAACAAATCTCATTCTATTACAAAACCCTATTGTAAATTAAGCGCAAAAAGTGTAAAAAGTCGAACAAGCAAAGATATATACAAACTGAAGAACTTGTAGAAAAACAACAAAAAATAATGATAACAAGAACTAAGCAAATTAATCACGTTTCAAATATGGGGCCAGAATAGTCCGTAAGTGTTTCGGGTAAAAATCGCATTCGCTATGTTAAATGTAAGCCAATTCAAGAATTTCTACCATACATATGCAAAACCACCTCTATGAATGTATATAGATAGCTAATGTTTGTTAAGCCACGATCATGATCATGAAAGCAAAAGCAAAAACCGCCAAAAGCTGCGTGAGCGAAATCGCATCGAAGCCGGAGAATCAAAACAGATAACACCAGACCCAATAACAACAGACCCAAAAGAGAGCTCTCTCTGTAGACACCACAGAAATCAGATATAACAGAAACCAGAAATAAATAAAAATCAAAACCAACCAACCAAAACCCAACCACCAGTCAGTCAGTCAGTCACAGCAGTTACAGCAACCAACCATTTGAAATCGCCCCGTTTCAGATGTACAATACCTACTCGGGCGCCAGTGGAAGCAGTCCCCCATTGCCGGACATTATTGGGCAGTACTACGGGCCGGGAACTCTGGGTCCGGGCCCCCTGTCCTACGGCTCGGGCAATGGTTACGCCCCAGCGGGCTACGATCTGTACGGACCCTCGACCTCGCAGGCAGCCGTGGGGGGATACGGACTGTACGATCCCCAGATCTACGGACCGTGTCAGACCTCGCCGATCCGCAGGAGGCGCTACAGCATTGCCGGCCTGCCCTCGGCCACCATGTACAATGATGTCTACGGCTATCCCGCACCGCCACTGCAGCAGACCAGCTCCTCGAACATAGTGAATCTGCTGAACGAGGCCCACAAGTCGATATCGCGCAGCTCGCAGATCCTGAATCTCACAAATCAGGCCCGTCAATTGGGTCAGCTGGTGACGACGCCCCTGGGCGGTCCCGTGGGCATGGGCCTGGGTCGAGTGGTCTCCAGCTACCCCACCCTGCATCCGGGGGACACCTCGCCGCCGTACCTCAACGACAACCTAATGCAAATGTCCACGAGCTTCTCCTCGCAGCCCAACATGTACTTCCAGCCGCAGGGGCAGCAGGTGCAGCAAGTGCTGCCCAGCCAGCTGACGGCGGCCCAGAGTGCCGCTGCAGCGGCTGCCCGACTCCGACCGGCCTACTCGGTGACGAATCTGGTGTCCAACTACCCGTCGACAAATACGACGGGCTATGGCGCCTGCAAGTACGGGGGCTATGGGAATCCCTACCAGAGTGATTTGGGCTACGGGAATCCCCTGGCCCCCTTCCAGCAGCGCCAGCTGATGGCCCACCAGTCGCTGCATGCCTCCAATCCCGCCATTTCGCAGTATTACCAGAATCAGGGATTGGGCGCGGGATCGGGAGCAACGGCGGCGGCGTTGGCCTACAATCTGCAGCAACAGTTCGCGGGAACGCAGCACTACGGAGGCGGATCTCAGGGCCCACCGTTGGGACACTCGCACATCCAGGCGTCGGTGCAGCAGCAGATGCATCCGCAGTACCAGTACCATGTGCACCAGCATCAGAATCACCTGCAGACACATCCGCTGGCGGCGTTGGCCAATACGAGCGGACCGTTTGGCGGTACGCTGGCCAGCAGTGCCAGGGACTATGTGGACGGACTGCATCATGCGGCCCACTCACATACGCATCCGCATACGCATCCGCATTCGCATCCGCACCACTCCTCGCATCATTCGCATCACACGGCATATCCGCACTCGCATTCGCACCATCAGCAGCAGCAGCCGCATCAAGCCCACCATCACCACCATCTGCCATACTCGAAACTAGACTTAGATTACCCGAAACTGCCGCAAGAGCATAAGCGACAAGTAAGTTTTAAATTTGACGTAGACACGCTATCCCTAGACTCCTAAAGATACCATGACCCAGTCCCCATTTCTGAAATCTAACCACCCCAACATCGAAATTCGCCACCATCGAAAAATCGTATTCGAAAATCGAAAAGATCATCAATCAGCATCCTATAAATATATAACAATCAGAGAACGATCGAATCCAATTGGAAAGTCCTACCGTCTATATAGCTATATGCAGTTATACGATATAGACGGCTGGCCGATCTGCATTTAACGCTTTCCTCTGCATCAACCAGTTCTCGCGTAGGGAGAAGATAAGACACCAAGTATTATACATACAATATACAACATATATGATAATAAAGTGGAATACTCTTAGTAGTTCTAGGCTAAGAAAAGTTCGCAATGGAGAATGTGGAGGAGGAGAACTATTGTTTCATGTGCCATTTTAAAGTAGCAACAGTAAAAGCGAAACAAAAGCGAAAATACCTTAAAGTTACTTCGAATTTTTATTTGACCATTTTGATTTAAGTTCTTTGCATAGAGCACTCAGGGCATAGAGAAAACCGAAGGCCGAATTCGGCTGAGAATTCAAATTGTTGTGGATGTTTTTTTGGAAATTGTAGAACCTTGCTCTTGACTCTCAAAAGTAAAAGACTGTATATAAAACTAAATGAGATTTACTCACAAATAACAACAATTTATATATACACAAAAAGAGAAATGCGAAATGAAATAACATTTACTTTAAACTTGTCTCGCCTGTGAAAGTTGCAAGTTTTGCGAGACGACAAAACAAAAAACGAAAAAACAAAAAACAAAAACGAAGCTTAAAATTTATTAAATCAAAACCTATAGAGTAACTCGTACTTAGTATGAACATTCGACAACTTAGCCAATTGTTAGTGCAGCACAGACACACACTCTATCTATACCTAAGCATAAAAGAATAAGTAACAAACCCTTGCATGGTCATAGTATTTCCACGCCATCAAGGACCTCCTCCTATACCCAACCTACTAACTACCTAACTAACCAGAGCCTAATCCAATTATAACTTTCTCTCTCGCATTAGTGGGCATAAGTTGCATAGAGACATTATTTACTTAACTTAACTTTCTTCCGCCTCCACTATTGTAACACTAAGTTTAAACTCTCCCAAAAGCCTTCCCCAGCAAAAGCAAATGCAAGAGTTATAAACGAACTAGCGTGTGATTAGCAATGAAGGTCAATTATGAACGAAAACATGGAAATTTATATGTGCAATCTATAACCGAATAGGTCAGAATCGAATGGGATCGCATCGGATCGACCTGTTTGAATTAGTTTTTGTGTGTCTGAGACAACAAGCAACGTGAAACGAAGAAGCATTCAAAATGTGTCTATGCGAATATTATATTGTATTATTATGTATTCGACTGTATTTCGTATTCGAAGAAGCGCTTTATACACTCATAAATCGGTAGTCATCGATAAGTATACAAAATATATAGAACGCTATACCCCTAAACCTCTGGCAAACGTTTCGTTCAGTTTTATGCCCCAAGGAAACCAAAATTTACTCGAAACTCACATTGAATGCATGCTAAACTACGGAATACTTTTGAGTAGTTAATATCTTTTAGTCGGACTATCGATTATAACTTGCTAACTTGTTTTTTGTGCTTAAAAATCGAAATTACGCATAGATATTTCTCAAAGAAAGTAAAAATTCTTGTTAAAGTAGTGTTTAAATATATACTAGATGAATTGATACGGGAAAGTGAATCGGAAGTTACTTTAATTTTGCCTAGTCGTAGTTGGTAGATCGAGAACCCCTAAAATATGCAGCAATCGTAAAACAAAACATAAAACAGAAATTGTGTTCATAGATAAACTCTTTTTCAATTGTTTATATATATATATAAATATATGTACATCAATGAATGTGAGCGTAACCGAAAGATAAAAAGCTTATCACTAGCCAATTCGAAAGACAGCACTCTGTGCGAGCGTGTGAATAGATAAATAGATACAAAGATACAAAGATACTATCCACTAGCTTTTCCTACTTCTGTTCTTGTTGCTCAGCCAAACTTGATTCTCCTCTCCGACTCAGTTTGATTTGTAACATTTTTCTACAAAACGACGAACAGAACAATGAGGCATTTGAATATTGATATAAGATATACACATTATACATAACTCTCTATATACTTGTATTGTATTTGAATAATTATGGTTAATATTCTGATTATACGCATATACATTTATGATCCCATGGGATGTACTATTTATACAATGATTTAACTGTAAACCTAATTAAGATTGCATTCAGACTTAATTCCGACAAGCAAGAATATTCTCGAAATCTGTTAAACTTAACTTAAGCTGTAAGCATTATAAAATGGAAACTTTTCGAAAGCAAACAATAAAATTACATACGAAAACCGAACGTCGAACATCGTACCGAAAAAGCAACTAAAAACCAAACCAATAACTAGTTCAGAAAACCCCACTTTCCGAACCCCCAAAAGAAACCATCAGACATACACCAAAACAGACCATCCATCCACACGATAATACTGAAAAGGACACCCAACGAGGGCGGTTAGGATAAGAGGAGTACCAAACTAAACCCTATATCTGGGATTTGGGGGGCCCCAGACATTATCCATCCACCAACTCTCATTCTCTACAAAGCGTAAGCTCGCTGTCCGCACCTCTTAATCGCTCATTTCACACTCAGTTGCAACAGCAAATGATACTTTGAGACAACAAGCAGACCACGAACACCAACCAATCACCAAGCATTTGTAGTCCTGGCTATGGATCACTATCAGTTCCCGGCCCAGGCAACCCCATGTGTGGCAACACTTTCTGATCTAATTCTATCTGTACTTGTTCCTTTCCAACCAACCCAAAAATACTACCACCCAACTCCCATCCGTAATGACCCTCAGCTGGACGAATTCCGTCTTGAAATACAGAGAAGGGATCAAGAGATCCTGGCGATGGCGGCCAAAATGAAAACCCTCGAGGAGCAGCACCAGGTAAATTCAAAACGCTAGCGCCCAAGTTTGTCGTTTGCACAGTAAAGTAATTCCCGTCAGGACTACCAGCGGCACATAGCGGTGCTCAAGGAGTCGCTATGTGCCAAAGAGGAGCACTACAACATGCTGCAGACGGATGTCGAGGAGATGCGCGCCCGCCTTGAGGAGAAGAACCGCCTGATCGAGAAGAAGACCCAGGGCACCCTGCAGACTGTTCAGGAGCGCAATCGCCTCACCAGCGAGCTCACCGAGCTCAAGGACCACATGGACATCAAGGACCGCAAGATCAGCGTGCTGCAGCGCAAGGTTAGACTGCCTATCCCCTATCCTTTCTTTATCCACTCCTAGAAAACTGAGGTAGTACCAAAATGCGGCTTTTGTCCATTAAGGCAATCAGAAAGGAAACCACTTACTTTACTAATTTGATAAATGTTTTAAGAGCCTTGTTCTAAATACGTTAAAAATATTTGTTCTGTTAAACGAAAGACAGCCATTTAATTTTTTAAAATATATTTATATATTATTACAATATTTCTTTAGTGGGGTCTTTATAAAAATATATATAAATATATACTCTCTCGTCAAGTCAGGTTCTAAGAAATACAAAGGCTTTTAACAAAAGTTTGCTTAAAATAGCTAATACGTAATTGACTTTAAAAACCATAAAAAATTTGAAGAAAGGTTTTATATATTACTTTAAATTCAGAACTAAACGTTCTGAGAAATTTGTATTGGAAACTAGGTTGAAATCGGTTGTGTTATTCGAATTCATATTTTTCTTTTTCTGCAATCTCTAACAAGTGCTCTTAACATTAATTAATAATTTATTAGAACCTACTTAAAATCACTAAAAGAATGAGCTTACAATCTCACCAGACAAGCATTGCTTACTTAGCTACGATAGCCAGGTCATCAGAGTTTCTCAGAAAATAAGACTTACCCAGAGCTTAGGCCATCGTCAATCCGGGTACTCTCTCCTCAACCCCCGCTCTCTTCCACTAGATCGAGAACCTGGAGGATCTCCTCAAGGAGAAGGACAACCAGGTGGACATGGCGCGGGCCCGTCTGTCAGCCATGCAGGCCCACCACAGCAGCTCCGAGGGGGCCCTGACCAGCCTAGAGGAGGCCATCGGCGACAAGGAGAAGCAGATGGCCCAGCTGCGGGATCAGCGGGATCGTGCCGAGCACGAGAAGCAGGAGGAGCGGGATCTCCATGAGCGCGAGGTGGCCGACTACAAAATCAAGCTGCGGGCCGCCGAGAGTGAGGTGGAAAAGCTGCAGACGCGTTTGGAGCGGGCGGTCACCGAGCGGGAGCGGTTGGAGATCAAGCTGGAGGCCTCACAGAGCGAACTGGGCAAGTCGAAGGCCGAGCTGGAGAAGGCCACCTGCGAAATGGGCCGAAGCAGTGCCGACTGGGAGTCCACCAAGCAGAGAATCGCCCGTTTGGAGCTGGAGAACGAGCGGCTGAAACACGATCTGGAACGTTCGCAGGTACTCGTGCATTATGACCAGTTCCCCAGACCTTACCCTAATAACTTATCATCAGTCTATTCGTATGTATGTTTGCGCTGTGTACATATAATCGAGAGACTTGCATACATACTTCTATCGATAATCTATGAACCCATATGCATACACATATCTATGTGCTATCTGTATCTACATTTATATCTATATATCTATATCTGAATATGTATTTACATGTACACATTACGCATCCCAACTACCCAACTACAACAACAATAATAATAACTACAACAACCAATCAACCTAAAAAACTCACCCAACATATAAACCAAATATAGATGCAGCTAGAAGAACAGACCACACTACACAAAGTAAGCCCAAAAATCCGAATTCCAAACTTCCAATTACCAACTAGATTGCATAATATCGAATATTGTAGTTTTCGAGTAATATGTTTGAAGAATCCCATCATGTATCATGAGTATGGTATTAAGTTTGTGGTGTGAAATATAAATGTAGAATTTGGTAATATCGTAAAGTAACTCATTGATTTTGATTCTTAAAGATCCAATAGTTAATCGAAAACATGTCGAATATCGCTATTATGCAACAACGCACCTTTTATGTATCGCCAACACATAAATATGTATCGTATATATCGCATATCGTACCATGTGACTAGCACTCGTTACCCAAAACACGTATAACCTTTGTTCGCCTGCCCTGAACTGAACTCTCATTCGCCATTTAGAGCCAGCAGGCTGAAGTCTTACTTAGCCAACACCGACCACCCACCACCACCAACGATTTCAGATCCGATAGAGCCCTGACATATTGCGCACTTAGATACTTAGACAGGATTAGCAGCACTCGCCTAGTTGGGTTTTGATTTAATCGCTGTGCAGACAAACGGAGGTGTGAATAAGTTGAATTGCCACCGAACACGCATACATACGTATAAGCGTGTCCTAAGATTAAGATATAACTATGTTCGTATCGTACTCTTGCAGAATGTACAAAAGTTAATGTTCGAAACGGGCAAGATATCGGTAAGTCGGCCAAAGCCGCTGACCCAGCCTAACATAGTCCACCAAACGCAATAGCAGCCCAATTATAAATTACAAATCGAATTTAGAGAACCAAGCGTCAAATGCACCCAAATGCACAGCAAATTGTATAAGCGAAATATCTGTCCAAATCTCATTGAATCATTCGCAGCTTCATGGATTGGATCCATTGTAAACAGCTTGCCTGCTGGACTCATCGTAACATCATCCGTTCATCCGTATTCGAAACCATCATCATTTGTAACACACATTTGCTAATGCCTTAAACTGCTTTCGATTGTTGTTTTGCACTTGTTATCCCAACCACCCCCATTGTGGTCAACCAACTAATTTGAATGTTTCCCGTTTCGCCGAAAGACAACGTTTGGCAGGACCACGATGACCACGTCCCAGGAACTGGATCGAGCCCAGGAGAGGGCCGATAAGGCCTCGGCCGAACTGCGACGCACCCAGGCCGAACTGAGAGTCACACAGGTATGGTCCAAGAGCTTCCCCATTTGCCTGCAAACCGAGACAGCCATATACATATATCAATATGCATATCTGAATGCTCTTTTAGTTAGCTTTACATATATTATTTACGTATAATTTATGTATAAATCGAACTCCGATATCGCAATTGCAAGTGCAATTCTCATATACGACTATCTGTGTGTGTATATGTATATACGAGTGCTAAACTTTCTATAACATATATATATATACCTATATCTCGGTGTGCGTGTGCTTTGTTGATGGACCAAAACTTTCGCCTGGCTATGAGGAGATTTCTTCGCACCCACACTGAACACAAGAAAGGGCCCACCACTCTCTCTCAGCTGCAACATGCCATCCCAACTACACACAACCCGAGCACCAAACACGCAGAGTCCTTTTTACGGGGCTAGGGACTATAAAGTTTTTAAACTCCTTTTGATTTTGCTTCTTTCGTAACTTTATCCTTAACGTAACCGTAAATGTATTAGTAAACTGTAAATGTAATCGTAATTGTAAAGAACTTTATTGCGAATACCACCGTTGAGACAATGTATACTAAAACCAAACTCTATCTAAACCGTTGTGCTTACATTCATTCTCTAAATATAGGGCGAAACTGAAAAACGTTTTGTGAGTAAACCGCTTCCAAACAATCAATCAATCAAACAAGTTTTTAGTAAAGCAACTAACCGTAATTGAATTCGATTGCAAACTTGAACTGCATCTGACTATGCCAAAGTAATCCAAAGAAAACCCAAAAAAAAGATAACCAAAGCTAGTTGCAATCTGTCACTTGTTCAATTTAATGTAACTTGCATTGCCTGATGTACTAACATTGCCATACCAGCATATACATACCCATACAGACATGCTTATAAATATAGCATACATACATACATACCAACATCGATTGACCTTGTACGATATTGCCTCGAGCTCATCTGTCACACTTCCGGTGTATTCCGAAAAAAATGAAAATAAACCTGCCCCGAAAACCGGATGCAAGCAAAGTATGACAAAGTATCCTTAGCTCCCGGAGCGTTTCCCTTGGACCTTCACCCACACACTGACACGTACCAGGACTTAAGGAAGCCGAAAGTTGCCCATTATATCCCCAGTTAATTGACTTACTCACTCGCTCTCACAAAAACATTGACACCCACACATCCGCTAGCTTTTCTAACGCACACTTTGCCTTACTTTGCTCTCGCACTTTCTCTAATTTCCCCTAATTTTCCTCTTGCACTAATGAGCCATCTGTGGTTGTCTACTCCATCGCGAACTCATTTTCAAATGACCGCCATGTGTCCCATAAGAAGTTGGTCCAGTGCTTTTAGTCCGTCTGTCTTAACCCATTAACAAGTATTACCCTTTCTTTTTAATTGTTCCATTACTCAGTACTTGGCCTTTTGTATACTTGGTTAAAATTGTTATATCTGTTTTGAAATCTTCTCGTGAGTATGTTTCATAAGAGTTTCCTTTTTGTCAGTCTGTTTTCAATTTAACCTGAAGTTTCCAATACCTGTACCTATACCCTACTTATATTATTAACTTTTTTCTTAAAACAAATTTAAAATTCCTTTAATGTTGCTAAACCATTCCAATGGTTTATACCTCCTTCATATTTTTCTTTCACTCACATTTGTTTAACTTTTTCACAAACGTAACCTGTTCCTTAAGTCTAAACGAAACCCTTCTTAAGATACAAACCAATAAGCTATATTTCCATCTAGCTAACTTTTTCATCAGTGTTCGCCATTAGAAGTAGTCAGTGCACTACTGAAGTTCTGCCGTCACGAACACTATCGAAACTCCAGTACCTCAATGTACATATGCTCTGCTTCTGCTGGCGAACACTGTATTACATCCATAAACGAATTCCTTTAAAAGCTGTATCCTCAAAACTATCCATTATCCTCTTACTTTTGATTCCTGTGCTATATCTCTCTCAATGTCAGCCTCTCGCTCGCAGCATAAATCGCTCTCTATCGCTCACTAGACGTTGTGATCGTGTTCGTAATCGTTACCGTAATTTAAGTACTATTTGTCGTTATATTTGTCGTTTGTCACCTTAACCTCTATTTCGTGTCTACTAATCAGTCAGACATTCAGTCAGTCAGTCAGTCGAATCAGTCATTTAAGAACCTTTGTCCCACATAATGGCCTGTAAATAATATCCGTTATCCAACATCCACTCTACCCCCCCGACAACATGATAAACCCTTCGATTCCACGATCGAATGATAATGAAAACCGACAAAACCAAAAACCCAAACAACCGAAAACAGTCGGATGCGGAGAGAGCACGTGAAGAGGCGGCCGCCCTGCAGGAGAAACTGGAGAAGAGCCAGGGCGAGGTGTACCGGCTCAAGGCGAAGCTGGAGAATGCCCAGGGCGAGCAGGAGAGTCTGCGCCAGGAGCTGGAGAAGGCGCAGAGCGGTGTCTCTCGCATCCACGCCGATCGCGATCGGGTAGGCAAAACCGTTTAGCTATAGGCTTTCCACCCAAAACGAAACCCCCCCACCCAACCATCCTCACTCACTCACCCAAAAACCACCATCCGTTGCACAGGCCTTCTCCGAGGTGGAAAAGATCAAGGAGGAGATGGAGCGCACCCAGGCCACGTTGGGCAAGTCGCAGCTGCAGCACGAGAAGCTGCAGAATTCGCTGGACAAGGCCCAGAACGAGGTCGATCATCTGCAGGATAAGCTGGACAAGATGGGCACGGAGAACCGTCGCCTGGTCCTCGAGAAGGAGAAGCTCACCTACGACTACGACAACCTGCAGTCGCAACTGGACAAGGCCTTGGGCCAGGCGGCCAGGATGCAGAAGGAGCGCGAGACCCTCTCGTTGGACACGGATCGCATACGCGAGAAGCTGGAGAAGACGCAGGTATGCCCGGGTCCCAATCCCAACCCCCCCAGAACCACCAACACCCCACAAACACACACTCTGAACCACACACCCATCTTCGAGACTAGCTAACCGAAAATCTGTGACTGTAAACGTAACTGTGTTGTGCTAACCCCCCAAGAGATAAACTATAGACTAACATACCACCGAAACCTCGCTTAGATCGATGTGATTGCTACTGCTTAACCCCATATCACCTAAACCCCTTAACCCCATAACACGCCTTGTATATATCTAAAACTATTTATCCCTAACATATATCTCTACGTATGCGTAACTATCTTTCGACCGTAACACCCCACAACACTTACAATAAAAACACACAACTACGAAATACCAGGTGCAACTGGGTCGCATCCAGAAGGAGCGGGATCAATTCTCCGACGAGCTGGAGACGCTCAAGGAGCGCTCGGAATCGGCGCAGACCCTCTTGATGAAGGCCGCCCGCGATCGGGAGGCGATGCAAACGGATCTGGAAGTTCTGAAGGAGCGCTACGAGAAGTCCCATGCCATCCAGCAGAAACTCCAGGTAATTGACAACCAAAACCCCCCCCATCGAACGCAAATTCTTCAGGTACATCCCTCCTCGTGGAGAAAACGAAACCCCAAAACAATTGGCTATCACCCAACCCCTACTAAACTCTATACTAAAATACATTGTCTGTACTGCATATATTGTTTGAAAACCGCATGAGAACTGAACTGAAAAACCAGAACAATTGGCTGTTTGTGTAAAACTGTAGCTATGTGCCATTAGAGAATGGAATTTTTAGATATAACCCATGTATTATTAATTCCTTTTCAGATGGAGCGTGACGATGCGGTCACCGAGGTGGAGATCCTCAAGGAGAAGCTGGACAAGGCACTGTATGCCAGCCAAAAGCTGATCGACGAGAAGGACACCTCCAACAAGGAGTTCGAGAAGATGCTGGAGAAGTACGATCGGGCCCAGAACGAGATATACCGCCTGCAGTCCCGCTGCGATACGGCAGAGGCGGATCGAGCTCGCCTGGAGGTGGAGGCGGAACGATCTGGACTGGCAGCCGGCAAGGCTCGCGAGGATCTGCGCAAGCTGCAGGACGAGAGCACTCGGCTGCAGGAGGCCTGCGATCGGGCGGCGCTCCAGCTGAGCCGCGCCAAGGAGTGCGAGGATAATGCGCGCAGCGAGCTGGAGCACAGTCGCGATCGCTTCGACAAGCTGCAAACGGACATCCGCAGGGCCCAGGGCGAGAAGGATCACTTCCAGTCGGAGCTGGAGCGAGTCACCTACGAGCTGGAGCGTGCCCATGCCGCCCAGACCAAGGCTTGTGCTAGCGTGGAGGCGGCCAAGGAGGAGGCCGCCCACTATGCCGTCGAGCTGGAGAAGATGCGCGATCGGTACGAGAAGAGCCAGGTGGAGCTGCGCAAGCTCCAGGACGTGGACACCTTTGGCCGGGAGACCCGACGCCTCAAGGAGGAGAACGAGCGACTGCGCGAGAAGCTGGACAAGACGCTCATGGAACTGGAGACCATACGCGGCAAGTCGCAGTACGAGTCGGAGTCCTTCGAGAAGTACAAGGACAAGTACGAGAAGATCGAGAACGAGGTGCAGAACATGGAGTCGAAGCTGCACGAGACCAGCCTGCAGCTGGAACTGTCAAAGGGCGAGGTGGCCAAGATGCTGGCCATGCAGGACAAGCAGCGATCCGAACTGGAGAGGGCCCACATCGAGCGGGAGAAGGCGCGGGACAAGCACGAGAAGCTGCTGAAGGAGGTCGATCGTTTGCGCCTGCAACAGTCCTCGGTGAGCCCCGGCGATCCGGTCCGAGCGTCGACGTCCTCATCCGCCGCTCTGTCCGCTGGCGAGCGGCAGGAGATCGACCGCCTGCGGGATCGCCTCGAGAAGGCGCTGCAGTCGCGCGACGCCACCGAGCTGGAGGCCGGTCGCTTGGCCAAGGAACTGGAGAAGGCGCAAATGCATCTGGCCAAGCAGCAGGAGAACACCGAGTCCACGCGCATCGAGTTCGAGCGCATGGGCGCCGAGCTGGGACGCCTCCACGATCGCCTCGAGAAGGCGGAGGCAGAGCGGGAAGCGCTGCGTCAGTCCAGTCGAGGCGGCGCAGCCGCAGCTGCCCCCCATCCACAGCTGGAGAAGCATGTCCAGAAGCTGGAGTCCGATGTCAAGCAGCTGGCGGTGGAGCGGGAACAACTGGTGCTGCAGCTGGAGAAGAGCCAGGAGATCCTCATGAACTTCCAGAAGGAGCTGCAGAACGCCGAGGTGGAGCTGCAAAAGACGCGCGAAGAGAATCGCAAGCTGCGCAATGGCCACCAAGTTCCACCCGCCGCTGCCGCCGCCCCTGCCCCAACACCCGGAGCCTCTCCCGCCGAGATTCAGGCCATGCAGAAGGAGATCCAGACGCTGCAGCAGAAGCTGCAGGAGTCGGAGCGCGCCCTCCAGGCAGCTGGTCCCCAGCAAGCTCAGGCTGCAGCGGCGGCCCAAGGAGCGAGTCGCGAGGAGATCGAGCACTGGCGCAAGGTCATCGAGCAGGAGAAGGGTCGCGCCGACATGGCCGACAAGGCCGCCCAGGAGATGCACAAGCGCATTCAGGTGAGGGTCAGGTGGATGTACTTGCCACACCAGGTCACACTGAGCACCAAGAGACTTTTATCTTTAACACAACTTAACATTCTGATACTTTCCAACACATTTAATCACATTTTTTATGTCAATATGTAAGTATTTAATATTATCATTTGGTAGTTAGATCATTATGGGTTAAGCGTTTGAAATTATAAACATTACTTTTGAATGAGTGTTGAGTTACACATGTTGTAATACATGTACGAGCTTCCTAACTAACATGGCAATGAACTTTAACCCCCTAGCTTATGGACCAACACATCAAGGATCAGCACGCCCAGATGCAGAAGATGCAGCAGCAGATGCAACAGCAGCAGCAGCAGGCGGCGCAGCAGCAACAGTCCGCAGCAAGTGCCGGCGGAGCGGACGCCAAGGAGATGGAGAAGGTCAGAGGCGAGCTCCAGGCAGCCTGCACTGAGAGGGATCGCTTCCAGCAGCAGCTGGAACTCCTGGTCACAGAGCTGGAAAAGAGCAAGGTGGATATACTATTAATCTATAAATAATAATACCCCTTTTAACTGAGTAAACCCATCCCAGATGTCCAACCAGGAGCAGGCCAAGCAACTGCAGACCTCGCAGCAACAAGTGCACCAACTGCAGCAACAGGTACAACAGCTGCAGCAGCAGATGCAACAACTGCAGCAGGCTGCCAGTGCGGGAGCAGGCGCTACCGATGTGCAGCGCCAGCAGCTGGAGCAGCAGCAGAAGCAACTGGAGGAGGTGCGCAAGCAGATCGACAACCAGGCCAAGGCCACCGAGGGCGAGCGCAAGATCATCGACGAGCAGCGCAAGCAGATCGACGCCAAGCGCAAGGACATCGAGGACAAGGAGAAGAAGATGACCGAGTTCGATGTCCAGCTGCGCAAGCGCAAGGAGCAGATGGACCAGCTGGAGAAGTCCCTCCAGACGCAAGGAGGCGGAGCGGCGGCCGCCGGCGAGCTCAACAAGAAGCTCATGGACACGCAGCGACAGCTGGAAGCGTAAGTGTTTGAAATGGGGGATTTTTCGAAGGTGTTTCAACTTTGTGGCGCCCCCGGGTGGATAGACGTACATACATAAAGAGAAAACTAGATTTTGTCTTGAGTGGCTATAACGAATACCAAAATGGTCAGATATTAATAAAATGTGAATTTCAGAAATCAATGTAACTGCTCAAAAAGCTGCTAGGAGTTGTACCATCTTTGCCTCAATTTAAAATTTGAGTATTAATATCCTATGTTCATAAGCCACACTTTCTAATGAGTTCATAAAAGCTTATAATATTTTAAAACGATTCCTATTAATTATTATTTACAATCTTTCCTTCAATTTAGATGCGTCAAGGAGCTGCAGAACACAAAGGAGGAGCACAAGAAGGCGGCAACCGAAACGGAGCGTTTGCTGCAATTGGTACAAATGTCTCAGGAGGAGCAGAATGCCAAGGAGAAGACCATCATGGATTTGCAACAGTGAGTTATTGACTAATCTTTGATCTACCATTTGAACATAGCCTTACTTTCTAATATTTATCCCTTTTTTAGAGCCTTAAAGATCGCTCAAGCCAAAGTCAAACAAGCACAAACGCAGCAACAGCAGCAGCAGGATGTAAGTTTATAGAGTCCCAAAGAGTAGTTAAGATATCCCTAAATCCTTTCTATATCCCACTTTAGGCTGGGCCAGCTGGCTTCTTGAAGAGCTTTTTCTAAACAGTGCCCCTGGAAAACAAAAGATTCACACATCTTCAGATGCAGATGAGGCAAAAGGAATACACCCGTACTATTTACCCAAAGCGATAATGGAAAACCAAAAAGCAGCAAGAAATTATCAAAAGCACTGTCTACTATTTTGTATACTACCGATGCCGATACCAATACCAACTATGCAGTATTTCTACGACTCACACATACACTCGATACACACACAAACTCAGACATACACACACACACACACATTTGTAAATGACACCATGTAAATGCAATGCGAAATGCAAATTATTTGATATTTATGTGTATTGTGTAATTAGGTTGCCGCTATACTCAAATTGTGGATGCATTTAAAAGTCAGCTCGTATAGCGTACTTTGTAAACTCTCTTAACTCTCTCTAACTCACTAACTCAATCCTTTTTCGAACTCAAACTCGAACTCAACTTAAAGTTTATCGTTAGTCAAGACACCTTCTAAGCCCCACTTTCCCCTTGAGAGCTTTCTGTCCTTCACTTTCTCTCTGTCGGTCGGAGCTGCGGAACGTAGACTACGTCCTCGGGCACTGCATCCCCCCATCAATCCAATAATATTACCCCTATGACCCACCCATCCCCCCATCAGGCATTAGTTTTCCCACTGCGCGAATGTGATGATATCGAAACAAGAAGGAAAGCAAAGGAGTAATTGCATTACAATTGATGAAAAAGCAACTTTGGACCCAAAGTGCAGCATGTACTTACAATTATCGAGGATATATATATGCTAGCCTCTGTTATAGTTAGTTAAACATGAAAATCGGCTTATCATACACCCACACTATCACACTGTACATAAAGCATTGGCATCAGACTCATAACGGAAAAGTATAGATACAGATACGGATACAATATGTAGAGCAATAAATGATAAACCACAGATAATGCAAATATGATATAGATACGAGTACCATATGTAAAATTAATACGATTAAAGAAATTATATTGCCTAGCCTTTAGCCGTGTACCAAAGAACTATCGATATAGACCCCGAAAAGAGAACGGAGAACACTACCTACCATTCGTATCAGCTATTATGGATATTATCGATAAAATAAACTCGAACATCAACTACAAACAAGTGCAATCTCTATTTTAATTAGTTAAATCTACACGATATCCCCACGTTCCTTAGCCCCAGACTAAATAGATCGAGTCCAGTACGCAAGCTTTACCCAAGTCAGCTGTGAATGCGCATTAGTACGATTACTTATAGTAGATCGATAGTTCCACTCTAGTCAAGGGTCGCTCGTACGTAGCTTTTGGTTTAGATAAAGTGCGGAGTGTTATTGTTATCAGACATAAATGACCTATACCCATATAATGCATATTTACATAGCTATTCAGGAATAGTTGCAAAGATGTGTACAAATTATAGAGTACCATATTTGACTAGCAGGAAATTAGTGTTTTCACTTTGTTCATTATAATTTAGAAGAAGGTATACATTTAGGAGAGGAATCGTATGGAGGAGTTATCACTGCCAGTGTAAGCAAGAATAATGATAGAATGGAATTTCAAAGTTCGTTTAATCATAGGGCTTATCATTAGACCTCATTTGACTTTCGGTTACCGTAGAAAACCAACCACGAAGACATTCAGCAAAAGACGAAGCTAAGTACACAACACAATCATATCATACGAGCCTATATCATAGCCCCAAGAACGAAAGGATAGTAGACCCTAGAGGAAAACTCTTTAGCGCTTTAAATTATCCTCAGATCTTTCCACACATAATAGAAAGGATCGATTATTCAATTGATAGAGACCCTCCACCACTTAGGTAATCGATTAACGACCAACTAAATTACGATAGAGCTGCACTCTCTGCTTTGATTTCAGTTTTGCGATCGTTCGATTTGTGTACATAAGTTAGGGTCCTCCTTTTCGCCCCTCTTGCGCCAAAAAAGTTCCCCAACAAGTTCCTATACCAGGAACCTCGGGTTTTACGGTGCAGCTGAAGGGCAGGAAACAATACGAGTTCGCGAGTCAAGTAAAATTTAGTAACATCTTCATGTTCGACAGAAGTGTACATAAGTGTCTAGTTATGTAAGCATAACAGAAACTGTATTATATATGAAAGTTTACTATATACGTTACAATGTAATCATCAATCTATATGCAGACCATTGAGAACACGAGAACAATTAACTATCGACAAATCAAACCGAACAAACTTCACCGTAGAACACGAAACTCTGGCTACAAGAGCTAAATGATAAAATTACACACCACGTTGACAATACAACAACCCACAAAAACACTTTAAACACTAAACAACCCTTTTTGATCACACCCACACAATGACGATCCATTAACGCTAGATGGAAGCCAACATATCCGAATCAAGATAGCGAAAATCCCATGTTAACTGGGGACTAACCAGATATCATGCATGTATATGTATGATCCGACATTTTCAAATCGATTTCCTAACGCTTCGAGTTGATTTCTTGGTCACTTGGTCCCTCAGTCACTTTCACCTTCGATCTCCGATCTCGATCTCGATTTCCAGTTATAGAAGATGAAACGTTTGCCTTTAACTACTTAACTTAACTTACCACGTATCGTATTGTTAGCCTAGATAGTCTCAATTACAGCAGCAGCAGCAGTGACGAACAAACTGAGAATAAGAACATGAACTAACGGTCTATCTACTTATAGTATTTGCCGTAACACTTTAATCATATTATCCCCGCCGTCGTGTACCCTACTTACAAATACAAATACGAAACTAACGGATAGCAAGGAAAGCTTCGACAACTTTTTCTATACAAATCTAGCGAATATAACAAATAAATCTAACAGACAAAAACCCAAATCTCGAGTAATGTAATTTAGCAAATTGTAAACTCAATATAGGCACACACTCTCTATCACAAACAGAACCGAGTATCAAGCGAAAAATGATGGCAGATTAAATGAATTTAAATGGGAAGGTCTCGATCCAGAGTCGAGCATTACCTAACGATAATGATAATGCAAGCGAAGAATTAACCCCAGTGTGTACTTCTCTGTACATAGACCTATATATATATATAACATTTACGAATAGAGCAAAGCATACGATAGATGAATATAGGAATATACGGATACAAAAACATATACATAGCAGATATGAAAAGAGAGCGCAAATTATATAGATACTACAGCATCATCCATCAAAGATCAAGGCCGAAGATCGTAGTCAGAGCAAAAACTTGGATAGAGAGGAGGAGCAGAGCAGAAGTGTAAACCCACAAACCCCAAAAAACCAAGTCCCCAAACTGAAACCGATACCGAAATATCCGCAGAGATATGAGAAAAGATAAAACAAAAGACGAACAACAATTTCGTGTAAACATTTTTTTAAACAAGTTTGGTGATCTACGATATTGGTAATAATTATTGATAAATAAAATTAAATTAAATAAAATGATATATATTATACAAATATATGAAGTAAAGTCTAGTGCTCAGAACGACAATTTTTTTTGGAAAGCGAAAGGATAATGATTTAACACAGTGTGATCAGTCAATAGATTAAAATCACCGATAGTTGAACGGTCAAACTGTGCTGTCTAATTTCAATTTTACACTTTGATCCAATTTCAATTAAATATTTTAAGATTCTAACTAATTTTGCCGATCTGAGCACACGACTTTAAGCAGGAGTAGGCAAAAAAGAATGGAAACAAGGGGAGGCATACATAAAGTACGAGTAAATATTTATTATATAATGTTTTTTAAGTAACTTATAGTAAGCCATTATATATACACACATATATATAAATTATACATATATGAAACTACATAAGTTTACAAGGTATATGACAAAAACAACAAACAACAAAAACCAAATTAAGAATCAACCACAACAACAAAGAGCAACATAAAAGGTAAAAACAAAAAAAACGCAACCGCAGAAACTAAACAAAGTAAAGGATTAGAGATGAGGTGGGAAATATAATAATAATAAAGTAAATAAATTTATTATATACATACATACATAGAAGAATATTACAAATGGGAGAAAGTCGAGCAAAATGAAAGCGAGATGAAAATGATTATTTGAAACATGTTCATTATATATAAATGTCATTACAAATGTTCTTCAAAACTGCCTACCAATAAAATATATTTCAAATAATATCAACCAGTGTTGTGATGAATAAACTGAGCTTTGGGAGGGGAATTTGTATACTGCTGAATATTCGGACGAAGGTGAAGTGACCATAAACATAAGGCCTACCATTTTTGAAATACCCGCCTTGTAAAACAGTGCTGCCAATCGGATGAACGCAGAGCTACTACATTATTTTCCACTAACCATTCGACACACAATGTAAAATGGTTCGAGTCTTTGCTTACAATTTATATTTTAAATTCAAATCTGGCCAGATGAAAATGAACGGTATCGATGCTGCCAGACCGGAAAATGGAGACTCGTCAAGGAAGAGGAAGAGGAAGTAAATTGGCGCCATTATTTGAAAATTGATGGTCCACTATAGCGTTTCGCCATACTACCATACAAGTCCGACTAAATTTGGTAAATTTATTAATATGAAAATGTATGAGGATGTATGAAAATATATGAAAATGTATGAAAATGTATGAACATGTATGAAAATGTATGAAAATGTATGAATATGTATGAAAGTGTATGAAAATTTATGAAAATGTATGAAAATATATGAAAATGTATGAAAATGTATGAAAATTTATGAAAATGTTTGAAGATGTATGAAAATATATGAAAATGTATGAAAATGTATGAAAACGTATGAAAATGTACGAAAATGTATGAATTTTTACCAGTTTGTATGAATATATATGAAATTAAAGTTGATCCTTAAAGTTTTTTTAGTGTAAGTAATAGTCGACAAGCCAAGTTAAGAAAAGTTTATTATTTGTTATCTTAGGTGGTTCTTTTAACATTACTTTATTAAAAGATTACGTTGTTCTGAACAAATATGTCTATATCTAAGGTCTGATTTTCAAGAAAAACGAAAGTTTATGACAAAGGCTGCTTATTTACTTATTTTTAGAGCCTATACTAAGTTGGCCCTTTAATGGTATCAAGAATACGTATACAATACAAAATCGTGCAAAGAAAACTACAAGAAAGAACAAAATGTTTCTCCTCTAAGCCACTCGTAATGTAAAATGGCCTACAGCACTTACAAAATCAATTTTAGACCGCTGAGAATAAAGTTACAAGTTCCAGTGAAACTTTTGCCAGCCGCAATGTTTAACATTCTTGTTGGATAAAATATTTAGAATTGCTGGCAAAAATTTAATCAGCCCTGGAAGAAAAACATTCATTACGGCTCCTTTATTTATTTTATCAGCTTGGAACGACAAACTCCGCTTTACGAGGCCGCATTTAGTGGGTGCGATGGGTGGTATTTTGGGGTTTTCCAGAGGGTTTTCGGGGGGTGGCCAGTGGAGCAGTGACAGCTGCCCTATAAAATATTAAAAGGCGCACACACACACAGAACCGGGCTGCAGAACCTCGTGTGATGTAATCCATATTGCGAGCCATGTAACGCAGGAAGGGTATACCATATATATGTACGCGGCTCTGTATATAAGACACATGACTCCTATGTGTAATGTACATTACATGGCCCCATATATATTTAGAACGCTTCTGGCCCACCTACAATTGGATTACCAACAACAGGCTCTCGGAAAAAGGAAAAACGATGGAAAAGCTCCTTGGGCACCGAACCGCACCGCACCCAACCACCCCCCGCCCCTTTTGGGCGCATGTGCCACAGCCGACGCCTCCGTCGCTGCCTCTTTTATCGATTGACCCAATTTGCGGGCATATAGTAGTTCGGCGCTTTTTTATCTCACCCGCCCAACGCAGCCCAACCCAACCCCCCGACTAAATTGCGCCATTCGCAGTATGTACATATACAATTTGTATCCACCCCCGCACATTCCAATGGTTTCCTTGTCCTTTCAACGTCCTTTCCTTTCCACACGGGAAAATTACACTCCGAAGGAGTTCTTGAGGGGACTATTTTTACTGAGGAAGAACTAAGAAAAAGACTTTCAAAATAGCGATACAATTTAGTTCAAGGTTTTCTTAATTATAATTTGTATTTCAGTATCTTTAATGGGGGCCCAATAAATGTATCTTTTTTGTTCAAATGTTACAGTATCTAAGAATGCTATACATTTTGAAAGCTAATTTCCATCTAGCTAAAAATCCTATACCTTTTGAAAGTTAATTTCAATGTTGTTAGGAATACTATACCTTTTGAAAGTTAATTTAAATGGAAGAAATCTATAATACAATAGTGATTTATAATATCTATTAATAATAGTGATTTTCTGGAGATTCTATGTTTCAATTTCGAATTTTAAGCTGTTCCTACAGATTTGAATACAATGTTTAGTCTGACCATTTCCCAATCTCTGCTTTGTAAAGCACCACACAGAGTGCCCCCAATTTATCATCTAGCGGGTTTATCTTCGGTCCGAGTTTTCCGTCCATAAAACTCCACAAAAGATAAACAAGAAGAACGCCCATTCCAATGCAGCGTTTTGGCCTAGAAAAGAAACCAGAGAGTGAGAAAAAAAAGAGAAAACAAAGAATGGAGAATGGAGAACTGGGCATGAAGTAGACTTTTGATCGGGCCACGAAGAAGCGACAACAAAGCGCTTGTTTGATTATGCTGGCCAAGCATAAACCCCCTATGTACAAACGTATGCCGCAGATACAAAATACAAAATACAGATGTACATACACACACGACACGTGTAATTGACCTACTTTCCCCACTCGAAAAAGTGTATCTGTGTGAGTTGCCTGTCCAGCTATTTGGATGCCATAGAAAAAAGCGGAAAAAAGAGTGGTACGAGCAGAAGAGGCGGCTGAAAAAGCTCAAAACCTAGATAAGATAAACGAAACAAGTACACCATTACTCACCAAGAGTGGGTCTGATATACAAACATTCATATATATGTATCTGTAGAACCCTGATCGTGTGTAATAAACCAGAATTTGTGTAATTAAAGCAGGGAAAATGTAAAAAGTATCTTGCAGATACGAAGTACATAGGAGCTTTTGCCGCCAACAAAGCTCACAGATACGCTTTGGCCACAAATGAAATAGTTTGTCGCGTTGTAGCGAGCGACATTTGTTGCCATGTGGCTGGCGACCTATTTACTACGGCATATCCATCAGATACATGCACAGAACAATTGAAAATACAACAAAAAAAGAAGGGGTTCCTGAGAGATCTATTGGAATGCGGCTAGCTGCGGAATCGAACAATGCTGAAAATGCGAAAATGCTGAAAATCACCGCCCACTGGAGGCGCTGGCTAAAAGCTGAAAGCTGAAATCGAGCCACGAAAGGCAATTACACGCTATCTTTTGGGGCCCGCAGATAGTTTTGTTTGCTCTCCGGCGCGACACTGATAAAGGGCAATTAGCAGCGAACATGTGCGGTGAAACTGGAGAATCGAAAAGACCAGAATGTCTGACAAAAAGCAATGAAAGCGCAGCGCTAAGCGAGCAACTTAATTAATTAGTTTCGACCGTAAACGCCCCTCTGCCATCTCGTATCTTCCACACAGAGAACAAAAAAATTAATAGTATCTCGAAGATTAAAAATTATTTTCAAGGTGTTAAGTTCTAAAATATTACATTTTTAAGCACTAAGGATAAATGAAAAAGTATAGATCAAATTTTAAAACAACTATATTCGTGTCTAAAAACTATCTGATGCTAGGTATGTACAATAAAAGTATATTCACCAAATGTTAAATCACTGCATGGAGCTTAACTCAAACCATCGCTATAAACATGCTCAAATAGAATATCTATAAATCCAAGAAATTTATTGGAGAACCAGTAGAGTTCTGAATTTGATGTACTACTTTTTTCCACAGTGCGGATAACTGCTGGCCGCACTTTGCAGTTAGTCAGCAAAGTAGCTAGCAATTCGCTGGCCGCGCTTGCCGTGTTTGCCGATTGTTAACACGCCGTCGTCCGGCTATTTTCGCCGCTGATGTAATCACTTTTTTCAGCCAGAACACAACAGAGCCCCCAATTCAAGAAAAACAGCGCATGTAACCAAAATCAGTTTCGATTTAGTTCCGTCAGTCGGCGGATCGCATCGACCCGCAAAATACCCTATACATCGTCGGTTCACAGAGATTACATACAGAATTTACACATCAATGAGATAGCTTAGCCTAGGATTAGCCGTACATTAAGGTATTTGGATTAGCTGCCTAAGGGCTTGTCAAAACAGGCTCAATCGGAGCGGTCGGGACTTGAGATTGGTTCACCGGCGTAGGACGCATTGACAACATGTCCAGGTGCTTCACCCGCCGGCGTCGGTCTTGCGAGTTCGGAACGGCGGCGTTTGAGCTCCTGGCGCGAGGAACTGAGCCTCTTGCTCCTCTTCATGTTGGTAAATCTCACGTAGATTTTACCCCGCCTCTCGGTGCGGTAAAAATGTAGCTGCTCCTGCGGGAACAGCTCCAGGATCTCGTTTTCCAATAGGTGACTCCGCTGCAGGGTCAGGTGCAACTGGTTTTCCTCGTAGAAGCTGCACACCAGCTGGATGAGCAATAGTCGCTGCACAGCATCGAGGGGCTCGTTGTGTCCAATGCGTTCCATCAGGTGCTGGGCCTTAGGGCCCGAGGCTCGCAGGATGCCCAGAATGCTGACTTCATGGTCAGCAGCTGCAATTGGTTCGTCCTTGCAGGCTGGTGTTCCTCCCGAAGAGCCAGGGCCCGATCCACTATCCATTACCCTAGGCTGCTGCATCGCCATCGCATGCTCGTTCTTAACGACTATCATGTCGTTGACAGCCTGCGCAGGAGGCTGAGCAACGGGCATTGGGAAGGGAACGGGCATTGTCCTGGGCTGACCGAGGGCCACCAGCGATTCCGCCGGTATTGTCTTGGCAGGATCCTCGGGTTTCGGTATATCTTCCTGCTCGGATGGATGGTCCACATCCGCTGGGTTCTGCCCAGGGAAATGGGACTGTGTCTGGGGCTGGGTGTGAACCTCCTGGCAGCGGCAACCGGTGCAGTGGCTCGACCCCTGACCCTGCACGCCCTGCAGCGGCACGTTCAGCCATCGGCGCCACCGCTCCAAGTGGTGCTCAAAGCGAATGCGGGTCCCGAAGCGAAAGTTCCGCAGCAGCTCGGACAGGTGATGACGTTTAATCATCTGCAGCTCGTCTACGTTGATGGCCTCATCTGGAAAATAGTCATTAATAGATTTTCTAGGCTGAAAATTAGGTTATCTCTTAATTATTTTCGAGCATCTGAATATATGGTACTTCTATCTTAAACACAATTTTTTTAACCATTTAATACCAAAATTCTGTGGCTACTTTTGCAGTTTGTTTAAAAGGAATTGCTATTTACTTTGGAAAGTTACTTAACATCATGGTTATCATTTATATCCAAATGTATAAAAAATATAATGAAATTTAATTGTAATGAATTTCAAGGACCATAATAAGCCAAATACAATTTTTAGAAAGAACAAGGCTATCCAAAATTCTTCAAAACAATAAAATTTTCATTTATTGATTATTATTTAAATCCTTTTTCTAGCATCATAATATCATAATTTATTTTTACAAAACATTGCAATCAGACTAGAAAGGTTTGTTAGCATATAATCTATTTATAATAGTTGCAAAAATGAATGGCTAGATCTCAGCTCAACGATACTAAAGTTTTAAATTAACCCGCAGCGACACACTAAGGGTTAAAGTCGCGCTCTTTTTTCCACCGCTCTTTATCGGCGCTTCTGTTTTGGTTTGTTTACATGCTGTACATAAATACATACATACATACATACCTTGAAGGTGGGGCAGCAGATCTGCCACATCCCAGGACTGAAGAAGTTCGCGCAGCTCCTCATAGTCCTCCTTTCCAGCCATCTCGAGCAGCTGCAGGCCGTGCGATTCCAGGGCGGAGTTGTCCACAGATCCAGAGCCACGTGGCATCTGCGGGGGCGATGATGTACACGGATTCATTCGACTACAACCGAGCGTACATCCTTTCGTCACGAATAAGAGTGCAGCACTGAATTTTGCAACAGGCGCGTTGTTCTCTCCCGTCCCTCGCCGCACACAAACCGACGCATACATATGTACGTTTTTCGTCTCGGTTTCATCGCGTTCTATTCTTCATCGTTTTTGTTTCGTTCATTCGTAGTCGGCTTCGCAAACTCAACGAACAGCGTATGTACCAAGGGCGTAGTCGGGCGCGGGAAAAGGGGGTCAATTGCGTGCCGCTTAAAATGTTTTAGCTGTTATGAAATTGAACATTCAGTTTATTTTGCAGGTTTTGTTGGGCTATGAAGAAAGTTGTATTTGTTAAACGACCCCCTCTAGATCTAATGTTGACTACACTCGTGGTATGTACACATGTACATACAACCGACATACATTCTTGCCTGCAAAAATACAGCGGTGGTTTTCGTTTCTTCGTGTTTTTTGTAGCTGTACATACACACATAAGTTTGTTTGATTGTTTATTGATACATTTTAGCAGCATGCTAGCGCTTCAAACACCAAACAGATGAGGTCGATCGGTTACTACCCTTATTTTTGTTAAACAAATATTTAACTTTATGTAAATACATACGTAACTACAATTTATAAGGAATACATTGTTCATACATATGCATGTACAGCATTACGCACAGATGTACTTATGTACATACACAGTACGATCAGTACAATGTACATTGTACATACAGCTGCGGCAACAAAAATAGCACCAGTGTGTAGGCAATTCTTCTTTGTGCTACAGAATGGTAATTTTTTGCAATATTTTTATTCTGTTTGTAAGGGTAAGTAGGGTTACATATCTATTAACTAAAATAAAAGTGGTTACGCCCACAATGCGGATGGTTTTTAAAATTTCGATACATTTATCAAAAAAGTAGCAAAGTTATGCGGCAACAAAAATAGCACCACTTAAATAAAAAACTTAAAAAACTTAAAAATAACGCGATTTGAAAATTTTTTTTGATTGAAATGTATGATTTCATACACCTTAAGGTAAAAAAATATTGTTCTAAAGCTTGGGCTGCAACAACAACAACAACAACGACCGACCTTGACGTCACTAGACACCAGAATCTTCCCTTGGCAAAATTGTTGTCTGGCTCTTTCAAAATAGCTCGAGGGCAGTTTTTTTTCTTCGGTTTTGCATTAAAAACATAGTTTTTAACATTTCTGCAAAGATTTTCGATGTGTTTTAGTTCTGGGGCTTGTAAGGTCCCCATTATACCATTTAGCTTAAGGGTTTTAAAACTTTGTACGACTTTCTGACTGATTTTTTTTGGGTTATAACCGTGGTAAAGCTTCGGAAATAAATTAGTTTTGTATTACGAATAAAATTGCATCACAATTTCTGAGCTATCAAGGTGAACATGTTGATCCTGTATGGGTTTACATTATGATATGGTACCAACATTATAGTACGAGAATATGCCCATACCATTATACTTGCTTCACCATTATTATTCTTTGCAAATGTGAAATGGGGACTCAATTTTGGATATGTAGGTTACCTGATGTGAATTTAAAGTCTTTTTCATCTAAACATGAGCAATTTTCAGCCGCCAGACCATATAAGAGTGTTCCTTTTATTGTGGGCCTTATTTAAAACTCGCCCTTCAAATTCACCCATGCTCTGCAGTCTAGGGAGATTTTTTTTTTGGACGTCAAGCGCATAATTGATTTTTATGTACATTATATCCAACTTTTTATGTACTTACAAATATTAAAAAAAAAAAAGCGACTTGATAGGCGCCTAAAACGGGACCTACTTGCATTCATGCAAATGACTTTTTAACAGTTATGGGGTCATTGCGGCTTTCGTACTGCGTGCTATTCTTTTGTGTTCTTGTTTTAGGTAACTACTAATCATTATTTTAAAGAATTCAACGATTCAACTTAACTTATCTTTTGCATTGCCTTTATAAATTAGCTTTTTAAATGTCCTTCTATCTGTATCATTACAGCGCGCTAAATGACCCATTGGGAACACTATTTTATGCATTATTTTACCAATTCACTTAGTAGTACTTATTCTTAATACAACAAAACGAAAAACAGCCAACAAATCTGAGCAAATGAAGTTTTATACCCAAAAACCGTTAATAGTGCTATTTTTGTTGCCGCATAATTATGCTACTTTTTTCATAAATCTATCGAAGTTTTAAAAACCATTCGCATTACGCCCACAACCATTTTTACTTTAGTTAAACGATATGTAAACCTACTTACCCTTACACACAGAAGAAAAATATTGCAAAAAATGACCATTTTGTACACAAATAAAAATTGCCCACACTTTGGTGCTATTTTTGTTGCCGCAACTGTACATGTTAAAAGTAGTAACTATAATGTACATATGGATAAGAATTTCATATCCTAGAATTTTTTTTAACACACAAATTACCAAAAAATACAAAAAGGAAAGGGAATCCAATACTAACAGTAACGGTAATATCTAATTCCTAAGATTATAAACTATTCAATTCTTCCATTACTTAGTTTTTTTTTCATGTTTGGTTTTAGATGATAGCTAAAACTACCATAGCTGTTTAAAATTTAACTTTAAGATTATCAGTAAATGTTTAAAGATCACAAAAGATCCTTTTGTTGACACAGGAAGCTAGAGAAACTCAATGAATATGAAAAAATAACTCTGACCAAGAATAACTAAGAACTATGTACAAAATGCAAATCTTCTATCTTGTTGTCAAGTTTAATTTTAAGATCCAGGAACTCTACATGTTTGAATTTTAAAATATGTCTTCCTTTTTAACTTTTCATCGTCAAATAGGAGTTATTCTCTCGGTTCGGGGAATGTATCAAATTGTTTTCCAAGAACATGGTATAGCTTTCTTCTCTAGCTTAAGTAAGACGATCTCAGTTTAAAGTAGTTCTCCAATTCTGAAAAGTGGGTGGATGGAGGGAAATCAGCGGTCACTGACGCCGACACTTCTGCGTGGCTGGGTGTTTGAAAAATTGGTTTGAAATTCAACCTCAAGACGTCATCACCATCCATGGCTCATAAGTGAAGTAGCTGGCACACCGGTTCATTGAACTTTCTTTTGTAAATGTTTTCCTTTCTTCGCTCTCTCTCTCCGCGTCCCTCCCCTCCCTCTGTTCTCCTTCGGCTCCCTCTTTTTGTTTACTTAGCTGCATTGTCGCTGTGTGTCTGTGTCGGCCGCCCTTTGCTTTCTTCTTTCATTTTTTGGACGACGACTTTCCGGAGTCGGAGTTTCGGTTTCTTCAGTCTTTTCGGGTTTCCTCTTTCAAAGAAGGGGAACTGCAACTTGTTTGGTTCAAATGCCTTCATTAACGACGCACACAACCGGGAAATGCGGGGAGCCAAATGGAAATTCCGTGTCACGGATTCCCGGACACTCACTCCCAGGGCAAACGACCTTCTCATCCCCTGGAATCCGTTTCGGTTTACATTTTTCGCAACCTCTACCTGACCTGAGGGAATTTCCCCACCCCAAGCTCACTGGTACGGAAAACTCATACCCGAAATCCGTAATTCAAACGCTGAAAAACCTTCTAATTATATTTATTTCAGAGGCAACGAGCTCTTTGGTTACCAATTAGATGCAGATTGTTTGCCTTTGGCCAAGATTGCGGCCAGGAAATTTAGCCCTGTCAAACAAGCATCTCTAAATTGGTCATTAATAGGTAGATTGTTTGTTTATTAGAAGTAATAGTTAATAGACCAGTTACAGTATCTAAGAGTATATATCTTCAGAAATCTTTTCACGACTTTGCTAAAAAAATATGTAAGATATAAACCCATTAATCGGGATAGAAACAGTATGATTCTGAAGTTGTATAACCCATACAAATATTCATTAAACCATTTGTATTGTTTATCATAGGGCTCTTTCCCATTTACATGCAACAGTTAATGAAACTAGCTGATTACATGCAGTACATACTGAACTCTGAAAACCTTTTCATGACTGCTAAAAAAATATCTAAGATATACATAAACCCATTCGAAGTATGATTCTTAAGTTTTAGAACCCATGCAAATATTCATTAAGACATTTGTATGATTTATCGTAAGGCTCTGTCTTATTTACATGCAACAGTTAATGAAACGAGCTGATTACATGCATTACATACTGAACTCTGAAAACCTTTTCATGACTGCTAAAAAATATCTAAGATATAAACCCATTAATCGGGATAGCAACAGTATGATACTAAAGTTTTAGAACCCATACAAATATTCATTAAGCCATTTGTACGGTTTACAGTAAGGCTCTTTCCCATTTACATGCAACAGTTAATGAAACGAGCTGATTACATGCATTACAAACTGAACTTTCTGAACTGGGCGATCAAGCCATAAATTATAAAACCTATTTTACAAGGGAACCTACGTGTATATGCAAATGTCAGCAAACTGGTTCGGTTTCAAAATACCCTCCCCTATCATGGCAATTGCATTTGGAGAAAGGAAAAAGTAAACAAAGGAAGAGGAAGCCCCCTTGATAAGACGCAGTTTCTTGCCAAGTTATCATTCTAATGAAAAATTCTTTGGCCACCAGGTAGCATAAAGAAACAAAGAGACATTTTCTGCCCCTATATGTTCTATATGCAGGGCGAATTGTTTCACAAAAGGAAACTGCGAAAGAATGTGGAAACATGCGCAATACCGTCCGACTTTCCAGGGAGGTTTCGAGGTTTTGAGGCGGGAAAAAGCCCAGGGGTGACTCGATATTTTTTCGGGAAATGGTGATACAATGGAGTTGCATCGGCATTTGTTTGCCAAGAATACCGAAAGCCAGATGGGAACTAGGATTAGCTGAGATTTGTATTTTGGTGCCTTATAACTTCCAATCATTTTAGGGGACTCGAACCCGGAAACCCCCTTTGGGACCCACCACTGGCCTAATCAATGCGAAGGCGGAAACACTAGAACTTGTATCGCCTGGAAGTGGCTAAGTTTTCATTTTTCTTATCAACTGCGCAGCAGCTTGGCAAGTTTTTCCGCCTTTTGTGCGCAATTCCCAGTCCCAGTCCCAAGTTTCAGATCTCCTCCATTCAAGAGCGTTTCCCTCGCAAGCTGTATGCGTTAAATGGGGCTTTTCGAGGTCTGAGATTCTGCCGCAGACATCTTGGGGGCCCCGTGAGCAGCGACGTCGACGTCGGCGCCGTGCCTCGGTGACCTACACACTGGCACACCCCCAAAGACCCCAAAAGCCGAACCCCCTTCGTCACCTCCTCGCCCACCCTGTAAAGTACATGAAAAAGCTTATACAGAACTTAACTTTATGTACACTTTTATGGCCATGTGCTGGGGCTTTTGTGGGCTCCATGCTCCGTGCTCCGTGCTCCGTGCTCCGTGCTACGCATATAGAAACGATTTTTGGCCGAGCAGAAAGCGAGTTGGAGTCCGATGGGGCATTCGCCAATCTTGATCCGCTGGCATTAGACGCGTTGCTCACTCGGTGGCGAGTGTATGGGTGTGTAGCGCGCGATTTCGCTTATCAGTTGGCTGATAAACCAGTTCCTGAAAATTCTGAACCGAGTAAGTAACGAAAAACAGACGGGAGTCTCTAGATCGAACCATCTGACATCTGACACATAAAAATGGGAAGTATGTTGACTTTTCGTTACGGAAATCGCATTAAAGTGACTCATATGGCAACTTTCCAAAGGTTTTTTATGACATTTCGTTTGAAAGTTGGCCCAAAACTGTTCTATAATATCTTTTTGTAATAGAAAGTCAAATAAATGGACTTTATAGTGCAGGAAAGGATTTGTTTTGGTATTTCATGTTAGTCTTGCAATATAAAACATCAGTTTAATGGACTTATAAATACATCCAGAGAAAGTTAGGTTTTACATATTATTGTGAAATGATAGTTATACTGATTAGTTCGTTGAAAAAAGTTAAGAATCAAGTTCGATCCAAATATAAACTTTCAGTAATGGAATTTCGACCTCATAGAGTCGGCCTACTGATAACAAGCACTGGCATTACTTCTATCGACATCGCCCCATACCCCCAGCCAAATCACATCTGTTTAAAGTCCAACCAGATGCCAGATGCAGATGTCGGGGCTGCTACCATTAAATATTAATAGCTATTGGCAAGCGGCCGACCTGCAGGCACTATAATTGCATAAAATTACAGAAACTAACGAACGCTCTCAGCTGTATCATTCGACTCGACATCGATTTTTTCTAGTTATTCTCGGCAACGGACTCTCTAATTAGTCGCTAATACGTGTGGGGGTTTCAAGGTGTACGACTTTTTGTTCCCAGACCCCAGACCCCAGTCCCCAGCTGATGGATTAGAATTTAAAGTTCAAAAGCTCAGTCCACAAGGCTGTAGCTCGCCTCCAATTAAAAGTGGTTATGTTGTGGGATTAGAGAAACCTGTTTAAAAATGGGTACCCAGTGGAACCACAGAAAATGCTCGAGAAAGATCGTTTTTTGACAAGATTCTCTTTGGTGGAATACATTGAAAACAATTGGATGAGTGTTTGGAGAAACCAAAAACATAAGCGTCCTATTTTTGGACAACTTCATTTGAAATTTCATTGTTTGTATGGGTTTTTCCACGAGCAGTCTTACTTTCATTACCTAAAATTGACCAATTCTACAAAAGAACAAAGTATATTCATTGAAAGTCGCGTATTTATAAAAAAAATTTTTAAAGATCTGAAATTTAAAATAATCCAAGAGAGCCATAGAGACCCCCTTGTAATTCCGTAAACCGTTTGTGCGTGTTCGGAGTAATTGAAAGACAGTCTGCGAAGATTTGGGGGAAGAACCAAGAGACCGAAAGAACAAGAGATTCGTGCCTGGAGCGCATTAACTTTTAACCCAAAAAAAGAACGACGAGATTTTGTGGTCTTTTTCGGTTTCTGTTTTGTGGTTAAGTAAACGTAAACAGAGACGAAAATGAAAAGAAATCACATGCAACGCACGTCTGCAGAGCGAGCGGGATGGCGATAGCACTCTTGCCAGCTTTCTTTTGCCTCTGCCTTGCGTTTCTCGTTTTGCTCCCGTGTGGCTTTTAATTTTCGAGCATAAAAACATAAAACGCAAAAGGCAATTGTGGCGTCATCGCCGAAAATTTGTTTCGCTTTCGAACTGGTTTGGATGTGTTTTTTGTTGTTGCTTCTGATGTCGTCATCGCGAAGATCCCAAAAATTGCATCAATTTCCGCTTTTCGCCTCTTTTCCAAGTCCGCCCCCTCGGATCCCGTTGCCAGGCAACCGAAAAAAAGAAAAGAATTGGAAGCATAAACAAAAACAACGGTGCAGCTGCAGCTTTGCGTGCCAAGTGGAAATTGGAAGGAGAACGGGAATGGGAAGAGAAGAAGGGAAAGAGGCAAGATTCGCAAAAGATTCGCGCGCCAATAACCCAGTTTTCAGTTTTCCGTTTCTAGTTGGCACTTACTAGTACACAAAGAACTTTCTGTGTGCGTGTGCAGTGGAAAAACTGGTATATACATACATATATTTGTACAAAAGTATATAACCTACACATAACAAGTGATGACACACTTTTGCACACATGCTTAGCCAAGAACACACATGTGCATGTGCCTTACAACTAATCAAACTAACCCACTTTCTTTGGCCAACATGCAGATTTCTAATTAGATTGCAGGTTTATCTTTCGTAATTTACATGGTTACGTTGCCGTTTCAATGGAAAAACAACGAGACGCGGAAAATTTCATCAAAAGTGCGCGACAGGGCCACAAAGCTACACTTCAATGGAAAACCAGCAACAACAAATGTGTGTCAGCGACAAAGCAGCACCAGCACACACACTATCACATAAGGCCGTTTATATACAGAACAGAAAGCTTCGTGCTGCCCTCCCGCTCGCACTCGCGCGGAGTACATAGCGCTGTACTGTACTTGCGCGCAACTCTCCACAACGCCGACGTCGACGCCAACTCTCCACTCGCGCGCTTGGAAGCGATTTTGGCTCGCGTTTTTCCGATCTGCGTTGTATTCGCCGCCGAAACCGTTTTATTCGCCGCCGAAACGTCGAACAGTGCGGTTGGTTCAGCGGTTCAGCGCTTGCAGTTGGAAAGTTGGAAATATAAAACACCGAACACAAAGTATAAAGTAATATTAAAACCCTGCATGGGAAAACCCCAAGGAGAGCGCAGCCAGCCGAGAGCGAAAGAGCAAGAGAGAGAGGCCGAGCGCGTCCTACGCTGTTGCTAACGTCGAAAATAGTCGCGACGGTTGAGTTGATTGAGTTGGTGGTGGTTTTCCCAGTGAACTTTGCCTGCAGAGCCATAAATCGAGAACAACTAAAGAAAGCAGACAATTTAAATTGCCAAAAGCAATCGCCGCGGGTTACGATTACGTAAAGAGCAGAGTATTCCCAAGGAGAGGCGAATAAAATAAAGAAAAGAGGGAGACGGCAGCAGGAACTGGATGACACATTTCTTTTTCCGAATCAATTACGCAACTTGCAAATGGCGCTGCCCGCTGTTGCTGTCTCGCTCGCCCGCCCGCTCGCGTGTTTCTAAGGCCCCGTAAATGTGTGCTTTTCATTATCGGAAGACGAAGACAAACGGCAAGTCGGAAAAAAAAACCTCACACATACATATTTTTTCACCCAAATTCAAAGAGAGAGCGCAAAAGCTCCGGCGACGTCATATTTTTATGGAACAGACACGGACACACACATACCTACGCACGCGTGAATTCTAACGAAACGCTTTCGCTTCGTTCAGTTTTGGCTTTCGTCAAGTCCGTTGCCTTGGTTTCGCTTCGTCAACTCGCGTCATTTGCAGCTGCACAGCGGGCAAAGTTGGCCGCGTTTTTTCCGCGCTTTGCCTCGCCTCTCCTTCGCCTTCGCGCCAATCTAATGGAATTTTTTGCGGCCGCGAGTGTGTTTTTTGCCAGCGAACAGTGTGGACTAGTTTTCATTATTTATCACCGCAGCCACACAACGTAACGTACTGCAACCTATGTGGGAGCGAGACGGGGACTCACTGTGCTTATTAAGAAGTCAGTCTTTTTCTCTCTCCTATACAAATTGCGGGCGTATCACCAATAGCCGAGTGGAGTGTGGTGTGCCACGAATTAATCATAGTTTTGTGCCTACTTATTAAGCAGACTTGTTTGTAATTGAAATGAATAAATGCCCTCTATATTTCCAGCAGCAGCCATTCAACTGAAACTGTCTCTTTCCAGTGTGCTCTCTTCTATCCTCTCCTCTCCAATCACTTTATTACACGTTTTATGTTTTATCATTCCACACACACACTCACAAGCACACAAAGTTTTGGACGAGGACGGGCAAAGCTAACGGGTGGGAGGGAGAGGGCGCGCCGAGAACCGTTACGACAGCGCGTGCTTGTTGTTGGTCTTTTTGCTGTTGCCAAGAGTGAATGATATATTATTGTTGTATGGAGGCAAATGAAACTGTACAATGAACGGCGGTGGGCAAGGAGGAGGAATAGAGCGAGAGAGAGAGGCAAACTCGAAGTACAACAAAAGCGAAACTTACGTAAACACGCATGTCTACGCATCGGTGTGTGTGTGTGCTTGTGTGTGAATTATGTTTCTAGTTTTTCGAAAAGGAGAAGTAGAAAATCAAGTTTCTATCGACGGAATGAATCATATTCCGATTCCGCAGAATGAGCCCCAGTCTTCTGAACAATCTCCATTTGTCATGGGACTTTGGCTGGCACTTATTTTTCCCATTAATTAAGGCCTTATGACTAAGAATTGCAATTGCTGGTGATGCAATTCCCGCCGTCACTGAAATTATTTTGCAAAAATTATATAAATTGGCTTTTCAGGTGTTCGTTACACGAATCATTCGCTTGGAAATATAGATATACGGGGAATGGCATGCCAACAACTCGATTAGAGATATTATATTAGTATAGAATGCACAGTGTTCGAGGTAATTGCGTTCGCAGAACGATTTGAGTGGACCTTGGAAATTCACACAATAACTATTACTATTCGCAATGTATAATTTATTTTTTGCATTCGAAACTTCGACTTTGCAGTCCGGAGTCGAGGCTCCTCTATCTCTTTCTAACGCCTGCAGCAGCTGACCTTGAGAGCGAGACAAAGCCAACAGACAAACAAAGCGACAGAAAGAGACGGGCGATCAGAGCAAACAGATCTGCTATATCTACAGTCCGACTTCTATAACTCGAACTAACACATTGCGATTTTCAGTACCATCTTGTTATAAAATGGTTTCATTAAATAACTAGTGGGTTTTAACCTGCTAAAGTTATTTCTTGTAGATAAACCTTCAAATAACTCTCTTTTAAGTAGAACCGATATACTACTAATAATTTCAATAACATTTCATCTAAATTGGTTTATTCAAAATATATTGTCTAATTGTATTGTTGTTGAAACATTATAATTACATTTTACTAATATTATATTTAGGTAAACCCAAACTGTAAAAGAACTTCAATAAATTAGAAATCTATGTAGTAATTGGATTGTTTTTCTGTTTTAAAATGATATATATTAGGTAGTCATGTGATTGATTGGCTGGAAGAAATCAAACAAATATTATATCTGCTACATTTATATAGTTTCCTTATGTCAGTTCTAACTGATCTATAAATCTAATACAAAATTTGAAGCTGAACTACAGGGTAATAAAACCATATTGCGTTTTCACTGCAAAACTTTTAAGAAATCACAATTTTAAGTACTAAAATGTCATCATAATAGCCTAACATCATAAAACATGTATAAACTAGCATGAAGTAAAGCTTAAGAATATTTGGAAACTGCCCTTATCATAATAATTTTGCGACCCAAGAGTTTTGAAGTATACACCACAAATATTTATTTCCTGTTACTTGCAGTTCTAAGCTAGTATGTGATAGATATAAATGGATGGAATTCTGGATGTCTGACTGTAGTATCTGCCCATACTTGTTACTCATTAGCGGAGACATCCCCATCCCCCGAGCCGAACCCCTTCTTCAAGCAACCATAACCATCCGGGATGATTCCACATCGGTTGCTAAGCGAAAATGACGCCATCTTGCATTTGATGATCGTCGAAAGCTAGTTTTACAATAAACCAATAGAACTGAACTATGTATCTAAGGCCCAGCCCATAATACTTGATCTTTGGTCGATGTGTAATTATAATCCAGTCAGTCCTTCAGCTGCCCCTTGCAACTTTTCGGTGCGGCTTCCACTCGGCGACTCACATCTTGGCATTTAATAAGAAGTTGGCCTTGAAGGCAGCCAGTTTGAAATTTGTGGATTCGGTTTCTGAGCCGCACTTCAGCCCCAGAACACAACACTTTGTGCCGAGTGTGTGTGATTAATGGGGCTTATTGCGGTTAGAGAGGCCTGCGCTTGGCTTTGAATTCGGCTTTGACTCCATTGGAGCTTTGAGCTTTTCGCTTTTGATGCAGCAAAGGGTTAAGCCACCTAAGAAAATCCAGGTGGGTTAAAAATGACACGATTCAGGGATTTGTGGTAAGAACAAAAACAAGTAATTCACGAAATTAATTATGATTTTTAAGGCTGATATATGTATGTACCTAAAATAAGTAGGAGAAAGAAAGAGGTTCTACTTAGATTTTTTTAAGAACTTTATAATATTCTTAAATAAATAGGAATTTTTTAAATTAACTTTTCTGTTGTGAATCAATTTTATAAGGTTTAAGGCCTACCAGTGGTTCTTAAAGTTATTACAAAGGTCCTCTTCGTCGTAAGTAGTTTTTAAACCTTTTGGTTTCCTACAGGAAAAGTATGGAATTCTAGAGTTAAACCCCACTTTTAGTTTAATCTGCGATTGAGAAAACGGCTCTATTAAGTTTACTATGACTGTCATAATTAAGAATTCTTAATAGTCCTCACAATTAATAGAATATTTGGTTAGATGCTATCAAAACAACAAAAGTACGTACAGAATTCCGAGAGGTTTGATACTTTTCTGACCCCAACAATACCATACTAAGAACAATTACAATTATCCACAAAAATGGACATTAATTAATGTCAACTCGATTTCAACACCATTCATTCCCCTCGCGTTGTGCAGCCTTGTTATGTTGATGTCAGCTCATTTGTCGCCCCAAATTAGAGGAAATAAATGCTTGTGTTTCGGTCTGTAAATGTGGCCAAACTGGAGGCCGCCGATACAACATCGATCCGCGCTAATTGCCATTAATCAGAGGCGTTTGTTTGTCTGGGAAAAGAAGGGGGGGTGGGTTATCCATAGGGTCGGTCAGCTGACATCTCCATTCGGTCCGCAATTATCCGCTGCACTATCCACTGGGAAAGCCCACATGTGTAGGCATAGGCCACCGTTTAAAGATCTCTCTATCTGCGAATGAGTTGGCCACAAGACCCAGACCTCAGCACACCCAGAACAAGATAGTACCACCCCCAATCGCAATCCCTCCAGCACTCAACCACATGACATGCCAAGCGGTTCCAATTTATCGTACTGAGAACGCTTGGCAGTCATTGGGAAAGCGATTCAACAAAATTTAAAACAATTTAGCTTATGTCACGTCTGCTTAGTGCCGAAAAGGGGGGAAAATCGGTGGGGGAAGCCGAAGAGTTTCAAGCGCTTAGAACAAAGCGCCACAAATTGTATTGTGTCACGCTCGATCTGCGGCCATGCGAACGGGGATATAAGCCCCACATATTCATATGTGTATTTACTGGGCTATATAAACATATACATATAGTATAGTTTTATTTGCACATGCGAGCACTCGTAGTGCCAGGCCATATAGATATGACTCTGGCCCATAGTCATGTACATGCTATTTATACGTTTATTCATTTAGTTCGCCTGTTTTAATTATAATTAACGCCGCTTTGCAAATTAACCAGCGGAAAACGAAGCATCCGAGGAGCCCTCGGTTACCCCAATGGAAAATAGTTGTTTCGGATTAGCCGGGAATATCAGAAATTATCAGTAAGTAATGCTTTCATTTAGATAAGAATCATTTGGGTTAACTGCTTCTGGCGTGTCTATGCGATCACGCACACCCAACTATGTAGAATGTCGTGTCAAGAACGTATAGAACTAAAGCGAAAGCTTTGTTTGGTATATCTTGATTATATGGTTCTAAGAATAATGCACAAGTTCTAAGTTTTTCGTTTTGAAAGGTTCGTGCTATACATTTTAAGTTGATACCAATAATTATTTTCTGCTGTATTTTAATCTTTACTTAAATATTTTATTTAGTTATTGTCGGCAAAGCTTATTGTTTGATCCATAAATGTATGCCAAACATGTCTACAAAACCACATTTATTATTAGGCCTAAATCTATGTATAGACCACACAGCACACGTTTTGTAAAGCATATGTAGGTCTATATTAACTACAGAATCATTTTAGGCTGTTATTTCAGCCCCAGCGATTTACCACCATGAATGAGTTTATGCCATTCGGATGACGTGCTGAAAGCCTCTGAGCAGGTTGTCAATCAGGTTGTCGCACATACGTACATCCCGAGCGGCGCCTTAATAATTGATCCCGCCTGCAGCTGGATGACGATGATGATGGCAGTGGAGGGGTCGGATGGGATGGATGAGTACACAGACAGAAAATCTATATTATGAAAATAAGATATGATATGATACGAAATTATGATATTATATAATATGATATATACATATATGATATGATAAAAATGAAAAAGGTATGATTATTATTAAACAATGAAAAATGTATAGCAATACTACTCCTGTATATATGTATATTCAAGATTTTCATCGAACTTTTCATATATTTGGGGTTTGGGATGGTATGGAATGATGGAATGTATGATATAAAAATAAGATATGATGAAAATAAAAGAAGAATGATATTAATAATCCATGAAAGAGATATAGCAATACCTTATCTGAATATACATTCCAGAATTTCATCGAACTTTTTATATATATTTACGTTTTGGGGTGGTGTGGTATATTGTGTGGATAGACGGAATAGAAGCGATCAATGATTTTAGAGTATAGGAATGTAATAATTATATCGATCTTTTCTTTTGTGCAAGGGTTGGGATGGGGTATAATGGTATAAGGGGTGGGAGTGTAATATTATTCAATCATCAAAACTATATGGCAGTGTACTAATTACCCTGCAGATATAATATTTATATGGAATTTTTTTGGAGCACGGGATGGAATAGTGTGGTTTGTGGTTTATCGCTTGGGATAGATGGAAGAGAACAGAAGTATGAATTATTAACTCATTAACTCATCAAAAAGATACATCAAAGTACTAATTCACCTGGAATTATAGGAATTACATATGCTTTTTTCCTGTGTGCACGGGTTGAAATGGTGGGGTATGGTTTATGGCATAGGATAGATGGTGGTGCTGACAGGCACCGAATCCAGCGACTCCAGCGATGCCAACTCCAACTGGGCCATGACGTGAGGCGACGCATCAGAGCGGAGCCCAAAGGAAGCGTGTGAAATCCCATTTGGCTAATGGCCAACGGCGTCAGCAGGAAAATCAACCTGTTTCGTAGTATCCACACCCCAGCACGGCCCCCTCTTGAAACTGGGAAAACTCGCTTCCAATTTCCACAGCGACACGGCGAATGCGAATGTGAATGTGGGCCAACCAGCCAGTCTTCTGTGTTGGTGGGAAAACGGGTTTTTCATTCGGGTTCTGCAACTGTTTTTTGGCGACTCGCTGACACGCTGGCCTCCTTTTTCCTCGGTTCCAGTGCTGGCACTCCTAACTTTTCCACTTGCTGTGCTTGTGCTGATTTTCCTCATTTTCCTGCAGCAGGATCGGAAAATCAGGGGAAAATGTTGTAATGAGTGGGGTTGGGGGGAAGGGGGGCTTTTCCAGGCCAGATTTTCCAAGGGGGGTGGCTGGGTGGCCCAACAGGGTGTGTCGGGGTCACCTTTGTAGCTGTTTTTTCGGGGGTGGTTAACCATAAAACGAGGCGCTTGGAGCTTGGGTTCTGGGGCTCTCGGGTTCTCGGCGATGATATCAGCCCTGGGGTGGATGTTTTTCCGCAAGCAGTACGAGGCACTAAGATTAAACCTACCCCCTGCACAAATAATCGTAATCAAAAGTGCCCTACTGGAAATCAATATCGTGCATAGGGCGCAGCATTATTGCTCATACGCAACGTGAGCCGGACAAAGAACTTAATTAAAAGTGATTCACCCCAAGAAAAGGCAACTGCCAGCGAGCGTTGCATGCATCAACATAAATCTGTGTGTGGCGAATCCCATGCAAATCCGCGAATGCTTCTTTTTCGCCTGACCCACATCTCCCATCCATCTGATTTGAAATTCGAATTTGTCCCGAGTTCATCGGCACTCCGGCAAACAAGCCAAAACACAGCGAAAAAGGGCAAACACAAATTTATGCTCGAGACCCACAACAAAAGGAAGCTCATATTTATGGATGCCGTTTTGATTTGGTTTGGCGCAAGCCAAACAGTATTTTAAATTGGACGAAGTGAAGGCACTGTAGTTCAGGAATTCCTTGCGCCATCGTCAAACTTTTTATCAGGTTTTTTACCGAAAAACATTACATATTAACATTAAATATCTCAATCCTTATTTTCCGCATTGGATGAACCCAAGCTTGACAAAAATAATGACTTCACCTTGTTCTAAAGAATTCGCGTTCGATAAAAAATCGTAATGGAAGTTAAAGGTCTTGCTCTGAAGAATTCGCGGTCTTACTTAAGCGGTCACATATTCTCCATTTATAGAATAAAAGTTTTAAAAAATGGTAGAGTGGCACATGTTGGTTTTGTTTGCTCTGAAGTATAGCTTATCTCTTTTTTTAAGGAATTATAAGCAACATTTTATCGAGGTCCATATTGTATTCGTAACCTACAAGCAAACACTTACTCGTATAAATGTACTAATTAAGATATGTATTACCCATGACTTAAGACACCGGCTTTCCAGCCGAAACTCTGTGATCAACTGACCAAATTTCAATTTACAATCCCCTCAGAACAAAGTCTCAGGGTGGCTCCCCTTTCAATGTTTTGAAAGAACTTATAGAAATTGTTTAATTACTAGGTTCCAAATAGAGGTTTACGCCGATGGTTTCAGCAGCGGCGGCGGCGTAGAGTTCTAAATTACCCAGCGGCGGCGGCGTAGCCGTTAGAAAGAACCGGCGGCGGCGGCGGGTACGCCGCCGGTGAAATTGTCGGCGGCTGGCGGCGTAAGCATTTAATAAACTGATTTTTTTTCCTTTTATTAATAAGTGAGTCAAGCAAAATAACAAATTAAACTAAAACTAAATAAGAGCCTTTTCTTGACTTGATAATTAATAAGTAAGTTAAGCGAAATAACAAATTAAACTGAAATTATTGACTTCATAATTAATAAGTAAGTAAAGCGAAATAACAACTTAAACTAAAATTAAAACAAAATAACAGTCTCTTCTTGATTTGACAGTTTTGAGATTCATTGTCTTTTCTTGACTTGACAGTTTTGAGATTTATTGAAATTGATTGAAATTGAAATTCATTGTCTTCATTATTAAACTATTAAAAAAAATTCTTAAGAAAAACTTTCCTTACATTTAATCGATAACTGAAAGCGATTATTGTCGAAATTTTTTTTAGGATATATTAATAATAACCTTTTTTATTTATAAAATGAATAAAAATTTGTATGACGCCGAACGCCGCCGCCGCCGCCGCCGCGCCGGTTTTTACGTGACTCGGCGGCGGCGCGTCAAAAAAGCAAAAAATCGGCGGCGGCGGCGGCGTGGCTCGGCGGCGTATATGTCTAGTTCCAAAACCAAAAATAAGGCTGGCTTATGACCATAATGACACGTGTGGGGGGCGTGCTGGGTCTGTCGCCCACTCAATTAGGTCCTCCGACTAATCCTGTCATTAAACACGGCCAGGTGTCGTTTCTTCGGGCTGGAAAACAATTATTAAACAATTAGGAGGCACTCGTTGGGGTCTATATAAAGGAGGAGCCTTTTCAACCCGGAAAAGTCATGTATCCGCGATTTCTCGACCGCAACTATCCGTTGGCGAAGCATCTGTTCTTCGTGACCAGATACTCCTTTGGCCTTTTGGGTCTGCGATTTGGTGGAAAACAATCGTGGTTCCATCTCTCATGGCTGGTCTTCAATTTCGTGAATCTGGCTCACTGCTGCCAGGCGGAGTTCGTCTTCGGCTGGAGTCATCTGCGCACCAGTCCCGTGGATGCCATGGATGCCTTTTGTCCCCTGGCCTGCAGTCTCACCACGCTCTTCAAGCTGGGATGGATGTGGTGGCGTCGTCAGGAGGTGTCTGAGCTGATGGAACGCATCCGATTGCTCATCAAGGAGCAGGAAATAAGGGGAGATTCGCGCAAGGATGCGGCACAGAGGAGCTACTATGTCATGGTCACCAGGTGTGGCATGCTGGTCTTCACCTTGGGCAGTGTCACCACTAGCGCCTTCGTCCTGCGATCCCTTTGGGAAATGTGGGTGCGTCGACATCAGGAGTTTAAATACGATATGCCCTTTCGCATGCTGTGGGTTGTTCTAGATTTCTCCTAACTTTATTTATCTGAGCCCTTGAATGATCTACAGGTTCCCCAAGTTTGCTCACCGAATGCCTTGGTTTCCCATCTTCTATCTCTACTCCACTTGGAGTGGTCAGGTGACTGTGTATGCCTTTGCTGGAACAGATGGTTTCTTCTTTGGCGTTACTCTCTATATGGCCTTTCTCCTGCAGGCCTTGAGATACGATGTTCAGGATGCCCTCAAGCCAGTACAAGGTGGGTGTATGACACAGAGAAACAAATTTAAAAGATATGATGATCATTTTGATGAAATCTAGTTTCAATTCTATTTTGATACGGGGTGCATCACTTTGATATCTTTGAACATCTTTCTTGTGCTCTCTTTTTCTATTTTGCAGAGATTCGAATATTGCTGTCTAGCTGTTAACCAGCGTTTTGCTACGCGCTTTCTCCTTTTTTTCTCTCTTTTTCGATAGTAGATTTTTAGAGATAGAATAATGATAATTAATACATTTACCATGCGAGCATCAAAATGATCCTTATGTGATTTTCCCCCTTTTTAGATCCCTCGGTTAGGGAGTCCAATATCTGCTGCCAGCGCTTGGCGGATATCGTGGATCGCCACAATGAAATAGAGAAGATTGTCCAGGTGTTCTCTGGAATCATGGCTACTCCCACTTTTGTCCACTTTGTGTCAGCCAGCCTGGTGATAGCCACCAGCGTAATTGATATACTATTGGTGATAATTTGCTCTAAGTGACTAGTGCTCTAACTTAAACGAATTATTTCTTTAGTATTCCGGCTACAATATCATCCGCTATGTGCTCTATACATTCGCCGTGTCCTCGGCTATATTTCTTTATTGCTATGGTGGCACGGAAATGTCCACTGAGGTGGGTAAAGCCAAATGTATTAAATTATCTTTGATTTTTCTATGCTATTTCTAGAGCCTCTCCTTTGGAGAAGCGGCCTACACAAGTGCCTGGTATCAATGGGATCGGGAGACTCGCAGGCGGGTTTTTCTCATTATCCTGAGAGCCCAACGACCCATTACCGTAAGGGTGCCCTTTTTTGCACCTTCTTTACCAGTCTTCACTTCGGTGGGTTGTATATTTCTATATGTATTGCATTAAAGGTTATAACTAACTTATATCTCTTTAGGTCATCAAGTTTACGGGTTCCATTGTAGCCCTGGCTAAAACCATATTGTAAGGGAGGCACTATTAAAAAATCTGTATCTATGTATTTAAAGTTCTTGTTTTCCTTTAAATTACTTTGTGGTTGTGGGCTAGCCCGAAAGTATGCAATTCCGACAATTAAAGATGAAGAGTTGTGCAGACTTAAGTCAATTACTTAACGGGGGTCGGGGTCAAGGGTTCAAATGTAATACTCCAAGGGTTGAGGAGGTGAAGTGCTGCAATTTCTTATGAAGCCACAGAAACGCCAAGAACTTTACAAAGTCCCTGTCGTAAAAAAAGTTTGAAAAGTTTAAGAACGAAAAAATGTACCAGCTTCAAATTGGTTACACAGATCGTATACGTAATCAGTTATGAGCAGGGATTTTCAGACAAACTATATAACATGGTATAAAATCATTTGTGGCCCTGGAACGTGAGGAGGTTTTGGTATTGGTTTTAGTCCGTTCTACGACTTCAGTCAACCAATTCTTAGCCAGCCATAAATGATGATTTGATTGAACCGTCTAGATTAGTTTCCTTTGATTAGATTTACCCTGATATCGAGCGATAAGTCCAAAACGATGGCTAGATTTCTTGGTCAGTCAGTCGGTTTAGTCTTCAACCAAGGTCTGGTCGCCAAACAAGTCGCTTGGGTTACCTGGGATTAGTGAAAAATGGCCAAGAGATTCATTCTTCTGCTTGTCGTCGCCATTTCGCTGAGCGGAAATGCCAGCGCACAGAGAGGTAAAGTGTTCTGATCCTGGTTCAAAAACTGTAATACCTTTTAAATCAAAAGATTGAAAGTTTTGGTAAAACTATAGTTTTAAGGATCCTACAAAATGTTAGCGTTTCTTTTAACAAAATAGAGTGTCCCTTTCGAGCTTGAATAATTTTTCAAAACAATTTAAATTTGCAAATCAAAAAATTAAAGATTAAGGTATATTAAGATAAGAAGGACCAATAAGTTACTGCAACATAATTATTTAAGATCGCAAGATTCCTATAAAGGAAGGTATAAATTAAAAAACTATTGGAAAATATGAATTTCTAAAGAATGATGTCTTATTTATAGCAGCGAATTAATGGATTGTTGGTAATATAAGCTTCTAGGACGAGTTACATTAAGATAGTACTCTTTCATATAGCTTCTTATCTTAAAATACGTGTGTTTAATGGTAAGCCATGCGTAGAGATAAGACTCAATTAATCCCATTGATATTTATGATCCCTAACCGATTTTCTATAGAAAGCTGTGTATAGGTATATTGAGAAGCAACTGAGCTCTTAGTTATTTATAATCCTTAACTATCTTGAAAATATCAATTACTTTAACATTTTTAATCGGAAAGTAGTAAAATTCGTACAGATAGAATACTGCCAAAAAAAGATTACAATAAAAAGATACAATTATAAACAGAAAATTATTAGAATATGGAATACTTGTGAGTGCTTAACCTCTTGTTCGAACACTCTTAACTTCTCCCACTTTTCAGATCACCCACGTGGGCGATCCTTCGATGCCGAATCGCATCCCATCAAGCATGCGGAGGAGCAACAGACGCAGTACTGGGTGGACAAGGCCCAGGAGAAGCTGCTATCCAAACTGGCCGAGGCACAGACGCTGAGCACGAACAAGGCGAAGAACGTGATCATGTTCCTGGGCGACGGAATGTCCGTTCACACGGTGACGGCCACCCGCAACCTGCTGGGCGACAGTGCGGAGCAGGTGTTCTTCGAGGGATTCCCCTACACGGGCCTGTCCAAGACGTATTGTATAAACCGTCAGGTGGCCGATTCCGCCTGCACCGCCACCGCCTACTTGGGTGGAGTTAAGGCCAACTACGCAACCATTGGCGTGAATGCCAATGTGAGCAGGTACAGCTGTGATGGCGCCGCCAGGGAGGAGGATCGAGTGCTCAGCATTGCCCAGTGGGCACAGGCGGCGGGCAAGGATGCCGGACTGGTGACCACGGCCAGGGTGACCCATGCCTCGCCAGCCGGCGTCTATGCCCACATTGCAGATCGTAACTGGGAGAACGACTATGAGGTGGCCAATGGAGGCTGCGATCCCGAGCAGACCATCGACATTGCCCGTCAGCTGGTGGAGCAGCCAGTGGGGCAGCAGCTCAAGGTTATCCTTGGAGGAGGACGCAAGCACTTTATCGACACCACGGTCAACGATGAGGAGGGATATCCCGGCAAGCGCACCGATGGCCGCCACTTAATTAACAGCTGGTTGGATCAGAAGAGGCAGGCCAATGTCTCGGCCAACTACGTTTGGAGTCGCAAGGGTCTAAGCCTGGTGGATCTGGACAACACGGACTATCTTCTGGGTCTCTTCGCCAACGATCACTTGCCCTACAACGGCGATCGGCACAGGAAGCGCAGCCAGCTGGCGGATCCCTCGCTGAGTGAGCTCACAGAGGCGGCCATCAAGGTCTTGAGTCGCAACCAGGAGGGATTCTTCCTCTTCGTCGAGGGTGCCCGCATCGACATGGCTCACCACGAGACCTACGCCAGGAGATCCCTCGAGGACACCGCCGAGTTTGCGGCGGCTGTCCAAAAGGCCCGCGAGATGACCTCCGAGGAGGACACTCTCATCGTGGTGACCGCCGATCATGCGCATGTCATGTCCATCAATGGTTATCCTGTGAGTATTTGGGGGTTTCCGATTTCGGAGAGTTTTGAATATGGCACGCTCTGTAACCCAGAGTATCACACTCTTTTCTCTCATTTTAAATTTGAGAGAATTTTTGAAAAGGCATTTTATGTTTTATAAATTTACCATACATAAATCAAGTTCTTCCCTTTGTGTTAATTAATTAAAATTCCGATTTCAAAACGATTACAAAGAGTAAAAAAAGATAAGATATGATGATCAGTATTCTTTCTGTATAGATATGGAGTATCAGTTCGATATGTTTGCCATCTTGCTTTTTGTTCTCTTTTCCAATAAGAGAGAGTTTGGAATATTGCTCTCTATCAAACCCAGAGTATCTTTCTCTAAAGTTAAATTTGACAGAATTTTGGAAGAGGTATTTTATATTTTATAAATTTACCATACATGTCAAGTTATTATCTTTGTTTTAATTAGTTAAAACTCCGATTTCAAAACGATTACATACAGAAAAAAAAGATAAGATATGATGATCAGTATTCGTTATGTACAGATAGGGGTATCAGTTCGATATGTTCGCCATCTCGATTTTAGCTCTCTTTTTTAATTTCGAAAAGTTTCGAATGTTGCTGTCTTGTTCTTACCCAGAGTAATTTTAGGAGCTAACTTTTCTTTTATTTTCTATTTGAGAAGTGTTTTTTTTTACCTGTGAACTCTTTCTTCCCGCAGTACCGCGACCAGGAGATCTTTGGGTTGGCCCAGCTGGCGGATGACAACCTGCCCTACACGGTTCTATCCTATGCCAATGGACCTGGTTACTACTCCGCGTACAACGAAGCTGAGGGACGAGCCCTGCTGCAGGAGAAGTCGGTGGTCGATTCGGACTTTCGGTATCCCACGCTGGCGCCCCTGGACTCGGAGACCCACGGCGGAGACGACGTGGCGGTGTATGCCTCGGGACCCTACGCCCAGTACTTCAGTGGGAACTACGAGCAGAGCAACATCCCAGCTCTGATGGGCCGGGCAGCTGGCATCGGTCCCTATGCCTAGGATCCATTTCTATTTTTTTTTGGCAGTTTGGCGTATTGAAAACTTCTCCGACTGACATAAACCAATTAAAATGCATCATAGCTAAACGAATATTGCATGGGAAACGGGATCGGTTGGGAGTGGGGCAAATCGAATTCCTTCTAATTGAACTGGCAAGCTGCGCAATTTCCTGCGGAGCAGAGCTACAGAGCTGCTCCTCGATAAATGCCACCTGACGGCGAATTCAATTAACTAGCAATGGCAACTGGCATCTGACAACCTGCAAGCAGCCCCAATCAGTCAGTTGCAATCACGCTCGGTCTGAGCCAATTGACCAGGTGGTTACTGGCCAAGTGGAGCGCAAATCGCGACCAGCTTTTTTGTCGTCGACTATCATAAATTCAAGGAAATATGGCATATGTCAGGAGTCCGTTGGGAGTCCTTGGGTTTTTTCCAAGTGGAGGGAGTCCATGAATTAGTAGGGATATTTACATATGAATGAGCTCTAGTTGCCAAGCCGCCCACCAAAAAAACACCAATTGCGAGGTGGTTTTGGGGTGGTGCTCCATTTTCATCCAAACAAAAATCAATGCATCTACTGCAGAAAATTTGTAAAAAAACATTTTTTTTTATACCTTAGCTTTCATTACGTTTATGCGATTGTGGTTATATGAAGAACTATCCACCAAAAAAAAGGTTTTAATTTTTAGACAAAATGTTATAGGGAAATAAATTTAAACCGCAGTTTATTAAAGATTATGAAAATGGCCATCAGTTACACTTCTTACATTTGTTGACATTTAAGCAAAATAACTCTTTGAAATGATTTCATAAAATAGCCATAGCCATAAGCACAGCATACATATGTACATACATAAGTGTATAAAATCATATAGCTTCATCGTTTCTTGGGCCTGATATTATTCGAAATAATTTCGTATCTACAAATCATTGCCTTTCATTTCCATTTAATTCTGGAATTTCTGAAGGTACATATTTACAAATAATTTCCCTTTGCCGAAAGGTCTCCCATAAACGTAGCTTGAAACGCCCAATATGAATGATTGAATTATGTTTTCCATTTAGTGTCAACATGCGATGATTGACGATTCCCAAAGGCCAAGAGGAATATTTGGTAATGGGTTGGGTTTCATTTCCGATTTCACTTGGTCGGGGCCAGATTTTTATTTTCGGGCAATTTCCGCTGCAATTTCTGTTTAAGGCGAGGTTCAGTTCGCTCAGTTTCTCAATTTCGATTTGTGCGGATAAAAGGAGACCCAGTTTCAACTGGACTGGGCCTAATCACAGGGTTTTTAAGCCACAGAGGCGGTGCATCGGGCCTAGAGAAACTGAAACTGGGTCATCAAGAGTGCGGGGACGTCCAAAGAAATGCAGCTGCGGTCTGGTTCTTGGTTTTTCCACCACCCAGATAGGGGGAGTGGTTCCTTTTTTTACCAATTATGTATATCTGTATCTGTATCTGCAGGGCCAGAAGAAGAAAAAGAGGAAGAGAAAAAAACTAATGGCAGCATACACAAAATGTGCTCA